TGGGTCATCTTTATCCCGCATCACGGCGCGGAAGACTTGGAATATGGGCGTGATGCCGCTGCCGCCGCAGATCATGGCGAATCTCCTGACTTGTTTCTCTGTGCCGCTGACGGCGCAGCGTCCGCGACCCATGTATTCGAATTTACCAATGGGGCCTTTGAAGTCGACGCCGTGGCCGACGGGGAGGGCGTTCATGGCCTTGCTCATTTGACCGCCTGGGTGAGAGTCCGAGGAGAGATAGAGCTTGATGAGAACTTCGAAGTGGCCTTTGCGTGTGGTCTCGGAAATGGGCGTGTAGGAGCGGATGATGGCTTCGCGATCGACGGGGTCGCGGAGGCGGATCATCAAATGTTGGCCTATGGGCAGACCGAGGGTCTGCTCAGGGTGTTCCAGCGTGAAGGTGAAGACGAATGTGTCTGCTGAGATGGCACGCTTAGAGTGGAGGACAGCTTTTGTCCAGGCGCGGGAGTTGAGGAAAGTGGGGCGAGGTTCGTTGGATGCGGTTTCGGAGGCTGGTTCTGAGAGGGCGAGTTTGGCGGAGTCGGAGAGGGTGCCGAGGTGGTAGGAGGGCATCATGCCTTTCGCCGTTTCGGAATGGATGGCCATGAATTCGTCAGAGCTGTCGAGACCCGCGGCGCTGATGATAGATTGGGCCCCGCCGGGGTGTTCTTTCATAAAGGAGAGACCCGTGTAGACTTCGCCATTTATGACGAACCAGGGGTCTTGTTCGCTGTCGTGTTTTCGCAATTCGTCAATCGTGATTTCATTCTTCAAGCCTGCTTTTGTCATGGGGACTTCTTTTGCTTGTTCGTGGACAACGGCCTTTTCTTCTTCGCCGGCGAGCTTTTCGCCCCAGTGCCCATTCGTTAAGTTGCCGCCTGCTTTCCTCACTCTCTCCATCCAGCCGCCTGGCATTAGTGCTGGTTGAGTTGGATGCTCGAATCGCAAATAGTCGCCCTCTTTACTTATGGTGACACGGAACCACAGATTGTTCATCATACCGAGTACGCTCCAGTACATATCTTTTGGTTGGATGTTCATGCTTTCATCCATGGCTCGAACAACGATATCCTTCGCGTCTGCGAGCTCCACCGTTGGTATGTTTAACGACCAATGACACCAACAGAAGCAAGTTTCTCTCCATGACATGTCGAGGCGTCCTCCAAATAACGTTTGCTCGGCTTCACGATATCGATCCTCGGCGTAGTCGATGTCCGCTAACCGCCACGTCCGGCCTTTGTCGATGGAGATCTCAACTCGAGTTACTCTTCTTCCGCCGCCACCGTAAGCATATCCTTTGGCCCGATATCTCTCCGGGCCATCTTTGAGACATACTTGCTCTTCATGCGCAGGATAGGCTATTGCTGAGTTGGTGCTCAAGTCATAGATGGCGTATCTATCATCATGCCACCATTTGGGATCACTGGCAGACTCCTCGGGACTGACCATGGTCGGCAAGACTCGATTGTCGTATATATGATACCAATTGTCACTCGGAGCAGCTGTGACGATGAGACTTTTCAGCCATTTTACACTTCGTCCTCCGATCTGCCCTGGTATGACGGCCCGCAATGGCTTGCCGTGATCCGGTCGAAGCATCTCGCCGTTCATCTTGTGGGCAAGCATCATCCCTCGATTCGGGTCCATGACCCAATTCAACTTCACGGATGTGCCGTAGAATCCATTGGGCTAGGCGTAGTATATTGTTAGTCGAGCTCCCTAAGACGACTGATTGGATTTCCATACCAGTTCATCCGCGCCTTCCATGCACACATATCGGGCACCTTTTCTTGGGCGCGCTTTCTTTATGAGCTCCGACATTGCCACCCCAGTAAAAAGCGCGGTGGAGACGCCGGCGGCTCCCCATGAGAAGCCTTTGCTTTTTCTGACCTGGTTTTGTTCTTTCCTTCTGTTTCCAGCGCAGACAAGTGTGATGGGGCAGGTGATTTGCTCGTACTCGGCAATCAATTGACGAAGGGTGAGGGTGAGGGGTCTTTCGACGAGCCTAGAGGACAGCTGTCAGCGAATTGAGAAGAACTTGGACGCTGTGTTCCACCTACCCTTGGACCGAGATTTGCCAGTCGGGAATGTCCTGGTCCTTGACTTCTGGAACAGCACCATGGTTCCTGACGTAGAAGAGTTCAGGGCTTGTTAGGAAGCCTTCGTTGAAGAGGGCGGACAATGGTGCCTCTACGTTGAATGGGTGGGTGCCGGTCAATCGGATTAATCTCGGGTCTCGGGGTACGTGAGCATCGGGGGTCTTCTTGTCGAGGTCTAGGACATTGGTGGGTGGAGTGGTAGGTGGCGGTAGGGGGATTTCGACTTCTTCGCTTGACTGGGAGTCATTTTCTTCAGTCTGCGGGGGTGAAGGGGGTAATTGGTCATATTGAGGTAAATTTTCATGCTTGTGTAATAAATGGTGAGAGCGTTTGTCTTGAGTAGTAGGGTCCTCCATGGTGATGGGTGGGAAGCAATTGAAGAGAAAGCAAAGAAGTCATTATTCACAGAATAATTCACAGAATAATTAGGTCGAAATTAAAGCAGTGGAAAATGGGGGAAAATCGGTTTATTCGGATTGGATTGCCAAAGTTGGTGGAGTGTCCGACATGATGGCCAAGAGAGGATATGACAGAAGAAAGGGAGTCATGCAAGTTTGAAAGGAGATGGCGATCCTGTCATCGTACCTTGAGAATGTAGAATAATGAACCAATGAGCTACTGACTGTATTGGTGGGCATAAGCTAGGTAGTCATGGGTGGAGGAAAAGGAGCCCGCGGAAGTGGCATATCCAACGCATTGCATAATTGCCATTCCTCGAGCACATGGGACCATCGTGCAGTTCCCAATCGTAGCGGTAGTAGTCAAAAGAAAGAAGATGCTTATCCATTAGCGCGTAGATAAGACATGCCCCGGTCTGGTCCATTTGCCATTCGCCCAATTACCGTTCACCATTTAAGTGCCATTTGCCATTTACCATTTGGCCATTTGGGACTGGAAATGGCAAATCCAAGGAAGTGGAGGTTTAAATAATTGAATAATGCTGACTTGGTGAGCAAGCAAAAGACGATGCCTACTCTATGCATTCATTACATGCAATAATGCGAGTATTCTTGTAAATAATCAAAATGGTATAGTAATTACTAATGGAGGCGGTAGATGTTGTTATATGTCGAAAGAATTATAAAACATAATTATATATGAAGAAACAGGAGCGTTCATTCCATCAAGCAGCGGCCTTGGCTGTGCATAAGCGAAATCCTAACTTTCAATGTTTCGATAACTAAGTGGATGCAGCACTTGGCGTTCGTGGTGATTGACCGTCTGGAACCCACCATTTTCATCGCTGTTGCTAATTCCGTCTCAAATTGAAGAAAACTTCCGCTCCGTCCAACCTCTACCACCCACAAGCCTCTCAACCTTACTTTAGCCCGATCACATCAGAATCTCATGGTCCTGGTTCGAAGATTAAAGCAATGGAAGCAAGAATGCTATGAGCCCAGCCGAGGGCATCCAGCATACCTTTCACGCATCTCATCTTGGACCCGGGTTTCACTCAAGCTGCAGAAAGGTGCTCTTTGATGAAAGCAGATGCCACCACATCTGCTGTGTAAACGCCCGGACTGGGCTTCCATCACGCTGCAGCGGGATCATGAGTGCAAGCGAACCTCAAAATCAATTATTGAAAGGCTCACGTTCAGTGAGAGTCGAAGGCTATGAGAGCTAAAGAAAGTCTTGTGCCATACAATACCGGCCTTTGAAGCCTTCCTCAGCCCCCGACACCAGCCATCACCACACCGCCATAATGTCTCATCAGCAGGACTCCCGCCATCACCATTGCGTGCCTCAATCCTCCGTCCCCAGCCATCACACCTTCATCCGACCGTTTCCAATGCACGCATGCCAGAGCTCGGATTGGAAGGGTTGGAGAAGGGCGAGAGAATTGAGCCGTGGTAAACGGGGGGGAGTCCTTGAAGAACGAAATGACAAAGGAGAATCTCGGGTCAGATGTGTATGGTTGAATAAGAAAGATTGGGTGGACATGGAAGATTTCGATCTCACTTGCAGAGACAGTAATTTGAAGACAATAGTTATGGATCCAGCGGCATCATGGTTGTAAAGTTGATGATCTGGACAAGATGTGTAGAAACGAGGTCTACGTGCGTATGGTGTGGGTAAGGTAGCAAGGATGAATATTCTATGGAGAAGAAGCCTGCTGCAGGATCTTCCCCCACCAAGCGAAGACACTATACTAGCGTGATCAAGGCTCCCGGAAGCGTCTTTCAACTTAGGTGGTGCGAAACATCTCAAACGCCAAGGGATCTAGAATACCTTACGCTAACAGTCGGGCTGAAAAGGAAGCTTACCCTCATTCTCCTTAGAATCTAAAGTATAATAAACAGCAGATTGTAATTTCCTAAAATGTGATAAAGTAAGGTAAAGTAGAGTTGTCCGCGACTCGCTTGTAAGTGGGGAGGGCTAGACTAGCGCTAAACAAAATGTTGGCGCCAACCAGACGACGCATGCTTATCTTCGCTTATCTTGTGCTTCAAGATGAAGTCGACTCCACCACAGTTCGTAATTTATTGAATAATTCTCCATTGCCGAGGAGAAAGATCAATGGTATTTGCCACATTGCCATGAATTCGAATTTCCCTTTTTCCATCTTTTCAAACAACAGGCTCACCAAATAAAACGATAAACCGATAAACCGATAAGCTACCGACCTTCCTCTGCCTTTCCCCGCGGCAAGAGGCCAAGGTATTCCTAGAGCATGAGGCATGGCATGCGTCGGAAACCTGCCAATAACAATGCCTCTTTCTCTGTGCTTCCTTTCGCCTCATCTGCTACTGAATGAAATCTCATTCTAGCTCTCTTTCTCTGCACTATTCTCCGCCTACCTTCCAAGTCTCATTACGGCGTTAGCTTGACTGCTTCATGCAACCCTCTTGAATGCTAACAGCAAACTCTTCCACTATCCCAGCTGTATCATAAATATTCAGCATGTCTTGGGCAGACTCCTCCCCCGGCATGCAGGCCGGAAGAGTGCCTGTCAATGGCCATGACCCGGAAGAAGAAAGTGCCCAATATCCGAGGCCCCCCGACAAGAGGAAGAAGGTTGTTGTTGTGGGGTTGGGAATGGTGGGCATTGCATTCATGTGAGTCTACAAACTTTGCAGACTACAGCGCTGCTAATGCTGGAAACACGAGCTCACGAATGTTGTCGACAGTGAGAAGCTACTGAAGATGGATGCAAAAAGGAGGGAATACGACGTCGTGGTTATTGGAGAGGAACCACATTTGGCGTACAACCGTGTTGGCTTGACTAGCTTCTTCCAGCACAGGAAGGCGGAGAACCTATATCTGAACCCTCGAGAATGGGTATGTCGTAAGCTCAAGCTCGAGCTATCATGACGGGGCTAATGCTTGCTTCCGTCCAGTATTCTGGTTTGCCAGAAGGCTCCCTCAATTACCACCTCAATACCCAGGTAACCGAAATACACTCCTCAGACAAGGTTGTCTCAACATCCACCGGCGAAACCGTCCCATATGATATACTCGTCCTCGCTACCGGCTCCGACGCTCTTCTGCCGCGACACACGCCTGGTCATGATGCAAAGGGAGTCTTCGTCTATCGCACAATTGAAGACCTAGAAAAGCTCATCAGCTATTCAGAAACGTGCAAGGGCGCTACGGGTGCAGTCGTAGGTGGTGGTCTGCTCGGATTGGAAGCTGCAAAGGCCATGATGGATCTCGAAAGCTTTGGCAAAGTCAAGCTCATCGAGCGCAACCGATGGGTTCTTAGTCGGCAATTGGACAACGATGCCGGCAGCATGGTCGTAGACCTTGTGCGAAAGCTAGGCTTAGACGTGCTTCTTAGTAAGCGAGTCGGCAGGATTGAAGTGGATGAGGACAACGCCGTCAAAGGGGTGCTATTTGAAGACGGGGAACACATGGAGTGCAAGTGTCTCATGTTCGGTATCGGTATCAAGGCTCGAGACGAGCTTGCGAGAAGTGCAGGAATCAAATGTGCCGACAGAGGTGGAGGTATAGTCATTGATCCAAGTCTCATGACGAGCCAGGACGGCGTCTATGCTATTGGAGAGTGCGCCAGCTGGGAAAGTCAGACTTTCGGCTTGATCGCTCCCGGCATCGAGATGGCTGAGGTTCTTGCTTTCAACATGACTCAGGCAAAGGTTCATGCTACAAGGAAGTTTAAGAGACCGGACCTGAGCACGAAGCTCAAGTTGCTAGGTGTGGAGGTGGCCAGCTTCGGAGATTTCTTTGCCGACAGAGACGGACCTAAAGACCTACCAATTAGGAGACATGGAGCGAAAAGCCAGGATAAAACCGGGGTCCAAGAACAGGAAGAGCAAGTGAAGAACCTTACTGATGGGCCACCCCCGCCACCAGTGAAAGCTTTGACTTATATGGACCCCTTTCAAGCGGTCTACAAGAAATTCCTTTTTACATTGGACGGCAAACATCTCTTGGGAGGCATGATGATTGGAGATACCAAAGATTATGTCAAATTGGTACCGATGGTGAAGAACCAAACGATGTTGGACGTTCCCCCCAGCCAATTCATCTTAGGAGCCGCCAAGGAAGGAGAGGACGATGCAAACGATTTGACTGACGACACACAGATCTGTTCATGCCATAATGTCACGAAAGCAGATGTAACAAAGGTCGTCAAGGACGGAACATGCAAAAGTATTGGAGATGTAAAGTCGTGTACAAAGGCTGGCACAGGCTGTGGTGGCTGCATGCCTCTTGTGCAGACGATCTTTAATACGGAAATGAAGGCTCAAGGATCGGAGGTCTTGAACCATCTCTGCCCTCATTTCAAACACTCACGAGCCGATCTTTTCCATATCATTACCGTCAAAAAGCTGAAACAATTTCCGGAGGTCATGAAGGAGTGTGGTACAGATCCAGATTCTCTGGGATGCGAAGCATGCAAACCAACTATCGGCTCCATCCTCGCCTCACTCTACAATCAGCACGTTATGGACAAACCGCTGCATGGTCTCCAGGACACCAACGACCGATACCTCGGCAATATTCAGCGAAATGGTACCTATTCCGTGATTCCTCGAGTATCAGCCGGAGAGATCACCCCGGAGAAGCTCATCATCATCGGCACCGTTGCCAAGAAGTACGGACTCTACTGCAAAATCACTGGCGGCCAACGCATCGATATGTTCGGTGCTAAGAAAGAAGACTTGATCGATATCTGGACCGAACTCGTCAACGGCGGCATGGAATCCGGTCACGCTTACGCCAAGTCCCTACGAACTGTCAAGTCGTGTGTTGGAACTACGTGGTGCCGCTTTGGCATTGGCGACAGTGTAGGCATGGCCGTCCGCCTTGAAGAACGCTACAAGTCCATACGCTCGCCCCACAAAATGAAAGGCGGCGTCTCTGGTTGTGTACGTGAGTGCGCTGAAGCCCAAAACAAAGACTTTGGGCTCATCGCCACGGAAAAAGGCTTCAATGTCTTCGTCGGCGGTAACGGTGGAGCAAAGCCACGCCACAGCGAGCTCCTCGCCAAAGACGTACCACCAGATGATGTCGTCCCCATACTCGATCGTTACCTGATGTTTTACATGCGCACAGCAGACAAGCTCCAACGTACAGCCCGCTGGATTGAGCAACTACCAGGTGGCATCAAGTACCTCCGTGAAGTCATTCTCCAAGACAAACTCGGCATAGCAGCCGAGCTCGAAATGCAAATGAATCAGCTCGTGGGCACCTTCTTCGACGAATGGGCCGCTGCCATTAAAGATCCCGCTCGCCGATCAAACTTCCAACAATTCGCCAACACAGACGATACCCTTTCCGTTGTTGACAAAGTCGACGAGCGTGGCCAACAACGCCCCGCTTACTGGCCCAAAGAGAGCACAACTGAGGATTTCCGTGGCACGCAATGGAGTGACCTCGCGTGGCAGCCTATAGTGGAAAGCAAACACTTCGTCGATACTCCGACCGGCAGCAGCAAGAACGTCAAGCGTGGAGACACGCAACTCGCCGTCTTCAAGATCAAAGGAAAGTGGTACGCCACGCAGCAGATGTGCCCGCACAAACGCACTTTTGCTCTCAGCGAAGGTTTGATAGGCGACGACACGAAAGCGGATAAGCTCTGGGTCTCCTGCCCTTTCCACAAGAGAAACTTCGCCCTCAACGGCTCCGATGCGGGTAAGTGCTCCAATGACGCCGAAGTCAATATCGCTACTTTCCCTGTTGAAGAAAGAGACGATGGCTGGGTCTATATCAAATTACCTCCCGTTGATGAGTTGGACGCGAGACTGGGGACCAGCAAATGGAAGGTCAGGAAGGGCGAAGGGAGTGAACCGTTTGGGAAGCTGGATGAGAAGCTGAAGGGCATGAAGGGACGGAAGCCATTGCAGGATAGTCATTTTAAGGATGGAGCGGGCGAGGTGAAGGCTGCGAGGGAGATTACGGCTGGAGGAAATGGGGGAATTGATTGGTAAGAGTATATGACGACGTGCATTGCGTGGATAAGCATTGTGCGTTGGAGTCCACGATCCTTGTACAAAACGGTTTCCTAGAATGCCTATACGATGGGTGCAAGGTACGCTTCCCTACGCCTACTGGTCGTGCATACAGAGTTTCACCCTTCCCATGCAAGCACAAACCCCTCCGGCTCCCGCCATCCTCGAGCTTGCCCCCCCCCCAAAGCCAAAATAGACGAAGAATCCTCAACCTCATGCACGACAAGAGGAAGTTGCGTCGGCCTCGCCCTTTTAGAAGGAAGGATGTACAGAACAAGCCTTGAGACGGTAGGTCGGTTCGTTCGTCCCTCGTATCTGGATGGCTTGCATCTACATCTACATCTACATCTACATCTACATCTACATCTACATCTACATCTACATCTACATCTACATCTACATCTACACCTACATCTACATTTACATCTTCCCTATCACCACCGACCCAGATGCCTCACCTCAAAGGCCTCACTCAAGACATCCCGGCTCCACGACTCTCACTTCCCCCCCTCCTAGCAGCCGTAACCTGCCGACCAGGCACTTTTAGAAACACGCATCTTCTTTCCCCTCCTTTACAAAACTGCCTACATGTAATTAACATATACCAGCCGATCGATCAACCGACCCTCCCAAAGTCTCGTTTCCCACTCGCCTCCGGCCCTTGCATCGGTCTTTTGAATCCCCCCAAAGTGGAAGCGGGCGAGGCCGACAGGAGATGTTTCACGGCTGAAGCGGAGCGAGCCCTTTCCGACTGAACGCTGCTGCTACGGAGCAGGTCGTTCGAAAGAGGGTATATACCCTACCGACTCCTCCCCCGGCACCAGCACCCACTTTCCCGCAGCCTTGTCAGTCGTTCTTCCCCGCCTAGCACTCCTCTCTCTCTCTCTGTTGCCCCCGACCCGCCATCCAAGCATCCCCTCCGCCCCGCATTCCACCCGCTCGCCCTCCTTCCCCTCACCGCGGCGGACCCGATCCCCTACAACTGCCCCGGCGCCCCGAACTACTGTCCGTCCCCCCCACCCCAACCCTGCTTTCACCTTCCCCCCCCCCGCCCATCACATCTTCGGTCACCACATGCCTTCCCACAACTCCATCCTTCACCACACCCACTAACCGAAACCTCACACGGGCGGATGCCCCGCCGGCGTGGACCCCCGTCCGCACCGACGCGTGCTCCAAGGCCGACAAGGCGAACGGCCGCGCGACTTTCTACCGGTACGTTGCATGCGTACACACCATGCTCTCTCTCGTCCACAAAGCCTTTTCTTTTTTTGGTTTGCCCTGTGTGCGTACCGTTTCCCATACACACACATACTTCTGAGCCGGACGTCTTCGCGGACGAAAGATTGCGATCACTCGGGTTTGACGTTGTTGGGACGGACTTTACATATTCTATTCCATCTGGTTTATCCCGCCGGGGATGTTTAAAGATCTATCATTTTCCCTTTCTTTCTTTCTTTCTTTCTTTCTTTCTTTCTTTCTTTCTTTCTTTCTTTCTTTCTTTCGTCTGGGTTGTTCAAAACAACAGGCGCGGACGCAGACGGCGGCGGTGCAGGTGTGCGGGGAATATCCCGGGGACGTGCAATTTTGAGGAGTAGTAGAAGAAGAAGAAGAAGACGACGAAGAAGAAGAAGAAGAAGAAGAAGAAGAAGAAGAAGAAGAAGAAGAAGAAGAAGAAGAAGAAGAAGAAGAAGAAGAAGAAGAAGAAGAAGAAGAAGAAGAAGAAGAAGAAGAAAGAAAGAAGAAGAAGAAGAAGAAGAAAAAGAAGAAAAAGAACAGAGGGTGAAGTTCTGCGGGTGCGGGTTAAGCGGTGAAAGGGCAACGAACAGGGGATGATGATGTCGAAGGGGTCCGTGATGACGGTGTGGGAAGAGAGAGAGAGAGAGAGAAAGAGAGAGAGAGAGAGAGAGAGAGAGAGAGAAAGGGTGTGTATGGTAGAGTACTAGTACGGGAAGCTGTGACGCCGACGCCGACGCCAACGGAAGAGCTTCCGGGGTGATGGACGTTGCGCGTTGGGAAGCAAGGAAGGAAGGAAGGAAACAATTCACACATCGTATCACGTCCGTTCCGTACCGCATCTGTTTCGAATACTTCCGTTCCGTGTAACATTGCCATGGGGGGAAAGAAGCAGGTAGAGATCGAGCTGAACTACCTCGTTGTCTGGGGAAGGTGGACGTATCTCGAAGGCTATTTCTCAATTCTATCTATCTACCCTGACCCCTTCCCACCCAGGCCCTTGCTCTCCATTTTCCGGCCCCCTTCAAGTCAACAGCGTCCCCCACCACGCAAGCATGTACAAAAAGACGAATCGACTTCCGGTTCTCGAAAGCCAGCGCACCTCGCTATGCAGACATCATACCCCCTATCCAGGGCAGGCAGGTGGAAGTAACAAGGCCGGCCGTACTCGGATATCCTGATTTAGTAGAAGCAAACCGAACAAGTGGTATCTCGCAGTCGTAAGACTTTGGACGTGATGGAAGAAACGAAAGGGATCGCTAAAATGCTGCATCTGATATGCACACCGCACAAGGAGTTAGACACCTCGATACTTTTGGTCTGGAATAGTGTTGTATCGACAGTTGAGCCTTGCTGAGGCTACTTGGGTTTCCGCCAGTAGTATTGCTAGGTTCGTTAGCACATGTCCAATCAGACATTTCAGCCATGGCTGGATTTGCAGTTGCCTACCTTGTGACTCTTCCTACAATTTCTCAACCCTCTCCCTCCCATTCCTTCCACTACTTCCCGTCGGCTCCCATCCACATCCGCCTCTGGGATGTAGTAGTACTCGCTCTCGAGACGCTTGCCGGCCGCGTCCTTGCCTTCACGCTCCACAGTTCCAATGCAGCGCGTACGGTCCAGCGTTGCCTTCAATACATCTTCTGTAAGTGAAGCGTCTTTCAGAGCAGCAGGCAGGGTTTGCATGAGAGTTGAAAGTGGTGTGGATTGAACGCGCGAATAGGCTAGTTGATTGATCACATGGTGCGTAATGGCGTCACCTGCTTCATCTTCTCGATGCAGAGAGTCAGAGACGTCGCGGTGGGCGTTGTGGCGACGGCGTTTAGGAGAAATGCCAGCTCGGCTCGAGCGTTGGGGTGATATGCTCGCTTCTTTGAGAGGATTCAGGGGATGACGATTAGGCGAGGCATTAGTGGTGAATGATTCCATGCGAGCTCCCAGGTTGGCGCCATAGGGACCGAAGGACGATATGATAGGGTCGTTCTCTTCGTCATTGTCGTCGGAGAAGTCGTTGGGGTTGGGGGTTTCTTCCAGGAGAGCAAAAGGTTGTGACGCCACTTGTGTAGACTGTGTAGCTTGCGTGTTACCCGCTGGTGGTTTGTCCTTGTCTTCGTCCGATGGTTCGTCTTCATATACCTGCACAGGTACAGGTATAGGAGGATCGGAAGCAAAATGTCCAGATGGCTGAGCATGAACAGCTTGCACAGCAGGCGAAGGAGACACAGGCGACTGCAACCTATGTTGCTGGCGAAGCGGACTTGTATCTAGAGGCCTATTACGTGGGGCGGCCGTGGCGTTGCGCTGCGGAGAGGTTTCGGAATCCCACGTCGAGTCCGAGTCTGTAGGGGTCGAAATCTTATTCTCATGCTTCGGCCAAGTCAATAACACACGAGCATCCTGTACATCCACCATGATATCCGCATCTTCAGTCTCAGAGGTAAAAGTATCCCCTTTCATGAGCTCCCATGCCTTTCCTTGGCAGTGCACTTTTACGCCATTCCAGCCCCTGCATTCAACTTGCACTCTTTTAGGAGCAGGAGGGTTAGAGGCTATGTACACTGCGCTGACGTGGACGCGGGAGATGAGCTTGTTGGTGGAGAGCTGGTAGTGGGAGGAGTTGCTCGATCTGCCCATCAGTGTTGGCTCTCCATGCTCAGAAAGCTCTATGGATGGTACAGTAGCTAGAGGGGCCCGCTCAGAGACTGCGGAATAAGTCCGAATCAAGCCTGGGCGACGCGTACGTAGTGGTTGAGGCGGAGAAGAAGAAGGGATCATAGTGGTGGAAGATGGAATAGGTGTGGGATATTGGCGCTCTCTATTTCCCAACTTGGCCGGAGACGCGTGAGCCAGGCGCTTCATTGGTCGAGGTAGTGCTGGCGAAGAGGAGAGAGGCTCAAACGCTGGCAGTAGAGAAGGAGCTGGACGCTTGACACCAGCGACTGGAGAGACGGGGAGAGGGACATGCTGCGGAGAGGGAGGCATTTCTGTTCTGAATATGCGGGCTCATGCATGAACGCCAGGGAGACGGCACTTTTTATACTGGATGTAGTATGAGTGCACTGGGTCAGAGGGCTTTGTACATGATCAATTGAGAAAGCGAGATGGTGTATTATGAGTAAAAAGGCTTTGATTGGCAGAAAATGTTGAAGATGTACAGTGGTAAGAGGTTGGAAGAAGAGAAGGTCTCTGACACGGTCAGTTCTTTTTAGTTGGCGCCGCTCCACTCGCTTTCTCTGGCGCGTGCTCTCGCGTTCTCCCACCACTAGATCTTCAATCCGAGAACCCCACATATCCCGACGATCTACATACATCATTTCCAATACATTCATTGTGGAGATTGGTCAAACTGGTTAAATAAAACAATTGATCACGCTCTTCTATCTGACTATCTGAGTGTTAGTGTTGCAAGATGCGCGCTGCGAAGCCTGATCTGGAGACTTGCTTGGGGGTATAAAATGCTATGCTTAACCGCTCCTTCGTCTCCCAACGCCCGCTGATGAAAGATTATGCTTATTCGAATCGTAGAACAATTCTCGACTGCCATGGATGTTATGTGTGAACGTGAATTCCAGGTATATCAGGTCAGTTGAGGGTGAAAGGCTCACGGATGCCACAGGGATATCAATTGCCATATCTCCTTTTCGTAGCTTGTGACAATGAGGATTCACTTTTCCTAGATGCGTTCCAGTCGTGCTGCTCTCATGTGGTTTCTCAATCCTCCTTGTCCTCAGTCGTGTTGGCATGGCTTCCCACAATAGCCTCAGTGTTGTCCGCCTCAAGTGGAGGAGCTGCCAAATTCGAGGGGGTGGCCGGGCTATTGGCAACAGCTGAGGTGCTTTCACTGAGTTGGCGTTCTACGCGTCGTCAGTACCATGGTAGACAAGATTGACCTCTTACTTGACGTACCTAACTCCCTAATCCTCTGCTTCAACATCTGGTTCTCCCTCGTGAGCATTTGCGTCTCCGCCTGGTAGAAAGCACCGTCGTCGAAGCTCGACTGGCTCCTGCCTGCAAAGCCCCAGTCCTCACCCGGTCCCTGCATACCAGCGGAGACAGGGCGCAGAGAAGGCGACGCAGTGCGGCTGGGTGTTCTAGAGCGGCGGGAAGACTGCCGAGAAAGATCCATAGAGCTACGGAAAGGTGAGCTCGGACGGGGATTGTTGAAGATGGACACGGAGGCCGACGGCAGGTTTGGTGGAATGGAGTAGTGGTAGGGATGATTTGCTGAACGCTCAGAGGGAGGAGTGGTGTCATCGAGTGCTGTGGAGCTACTGAGAGGTGTGTATGATGCTTGTTGCTGGATTGCTTGTAATTGCGCTTGCTGTTGGCGGATCATTTCCAGCAGACGGTTCTGACGCGCGCAGAAATGTCAGTAAAGCAAGAAGATAGGTGCAGAAAATGATAGACTGAGAAGACTGCTTACCACTTGAGCCTCCTGTTCCGCCTCCAATTCTTGATGCAGCTCGCCCAAGCTCGGTGCCCTATCCCGCTGAACCCCCATGATTGGACTTCCCATCGCTTGCGGACTGGCTGAACGAAACGGAAGGTTCATACCCTGATATGACTGACCCCTCAAATCTCCAACCTGCAACTCTCCAGGTCCAGGTACTGTGGGGTCGTACGAGCCTAGAAAAGCATTCGAGCGTCTCCTCTCACGCTCACTACGGCTGACTTGCGGTGATGCGCGCCCACGGTTCGAGCTAATGGATGAGCGGCGGGATTCTTCATTTTGAAAGCCTGCGTTGATAGTAGCTGCAGCGGCAAGAGAGGAGCTTGAGGCATGGCGGGAAGGCGAGTGGCGTGAAGGTGAGTGAGTGCCATTGCTGTAAGCGCGTGAGGGTGAAAAGGATTGGGTTATTGAATCGATGTCAGGCATCGTGAGGAGTAGTGGACCCAATACAAGCTGGGTGCTCCAACGGCGGACCTACTTTTTTATACAATGAGACCCTGGGTCATGGTGCAGAGGTGTGACTGAGAGGAACAAGGTGAGGTTTACAGAAGTTCCTGTTGACAGCTCGGCACTAAATAATGTGGCCCGAAGTTGTCCCGGCTGGTTCAAACTTTTGGGGCTCTCGCCGTTGCATGATCACCTTTACAGATCTCTCGAAAGTTGCTTACATCCTCAGAAGAGTTTCTGTGCATGGATTGATCTTTGATAAATGTCATTGTGTGAATCTAATCCATGGGTATCATGTTCCTGCTAGCCTATACCCCCCTCGTTTGGTAATCCTTTTGTAGTCCCATCCTTTTGTGAAAAAAATCCCCAATAGCGCCCGCTAAAAACCGAAGTATTGGAACATAATGCACGAAGTCTTTTAACATGAGTCTGAGACCAGCACAGCATGGGTGGCGAAGTGACATGGGTGAACATACGGTTGCGTGAAATCAAACAGCACCCAGATCGAGAAAAGTTCGCTGGGGCGCCCCGTACGCAGGGTTCCATGGACCGTCAAGCGATCCACGAAATTTCCTATCCGAAACCTTGATAGGAGGAATAAAAGGATGTGGGGCAGCTTCATCGAAGTAATGGGTTGCCGGAGAAATCACCGAGATCCTACTCCTAGGGCTCGGAACGGCAGACACTGGCGGTGGCTCTCGACCGATCCGTGGCGAGCTCTTGCGAAAGCCAAGCTGTGGTCGCTGCTCAGAAGGCGGCGGCGGAGGGTTGCGGGTAGGCCTTAGGGGCGATGGCAGTGACTCTGTTGGTGGCGGTGTAATGTTTTCAAAGTCGAAGGTCGTCTTAAAGGCGGTTTGAGGCGGAGTGGCATAGCTAGCAGGAGATTGGCTGCGCACTTGCATGCTCACTGGACGACGTAGATCTCGAGCTCGGGTTTGATCGATCCTCGTCGATTCTTGTGTGGTGGGAATTTGGATAAAATAGGATTGGTGCGGCGCTTCAGTCTTAGGTACAATAGGGACCGACAAATTCGCTTGAGGCATTACAGAATCATGTGGCGGCTCACGAGCTGTTGATTCATGGGACGGAGTCCTGGGAGGGGATGGAAGAACAGAAGCGCGTGATGAGGGGCTCACATCAGGCACAGCTGGCAGAGCCTTTGTTGGTGGCGGGTAAGAAAAGCCTCCTCGTGGAGGTTCCATCTCTGGCAAAGCTGTTGGTGGTGGCGATGGTGGTGATGGTGATGGAGTGACGAAAGTGTGCGGCGATGGTGTCGCTGAAGGAGACGCGAGCAAAGCCGTTGGTGGGGTCGGAGTTGTGGAGCTGGCTCTTGACTCTTCGGCACCTGGCAACGGGGGCAAGGGGGACAATGGTGATTTGATAAAGGAAGATCGTGAGGAGAGGTCAGCTCCAGGAATTGCTGGCAGAGCCGTAGTTGGGGGTGGGTGCGGCGATGGTGAATGACTCGCCAGCTGAAGCGGAGATACACCTCGAGAGTATTCCAACGAGGAAAATCGACGAGAGAATGGAGGGTTTCCCTCTGACGAAGATGGAGGACCACAAGAGCCTGCCGAACGAGGCGGAGTGCTCGTTGATGGGAAAAGACCATTCAAGGCCCTTGGGCTTGGTTTCTGGAGATGTTGGAGTTCTCCTATGATAGAAGTACGCCTTCCATTACCTGCCCCTTCCTCGCTAATGACAGGTGGAGAAGGAGACGCATGGATAAGGGCTGCCGGTGGAGTTTGCGGCTTTGAAGTAGTGCAAGATAACGCAGGAGAGTTGCTTGAGGACGAGTAACGTTTGCTGAAAGTTGGAACACTGAAGTTGGGTGCTGCAGGGGATGGAGTCCGTTGCTGCTGTGGTGCGTATTTCGAGATTCGATGCGATGATGGAGGCGCTGGAGGGGATGTTGTGGACTCTCGACGTTTTTTATTTGGAGACGTCAGCTGTTGCGCCGAGCTTTTGACCAGTCCATGATACATAGATGTTGTTTGTCGCCTTTCGTTGAAGTTCTGTGGCCACTGCGGTATGTCGGCCTGGAGATTCACTGGCGAAGGTCCAGGCGATGAATCTCTTGATGACGACGTTGTCTTTCCCACTGACGCATACGACTGTCGTGGGCTTTCTCTCAAATGATCGAGGTGGATTTGATTTATAGACTCGGCTGTATTCGATGTGGCACGCGATTCAAGGGACTGCTGGGTAGCCATGGATTGCCTTCTGACAAAAGAAGGATCTGTTGGGTCAACAACGGCTTGCTTTGAGGGCTCCGGTGAGAGAGTATTGTTGCCGAACGTAACATTCGGCACTAGGTCCGTGATCTGAGAAAACCGATTGGGATCCCTTTTGACCAGATATCGCTGGCTTGGTCTCTGATGCAGCTCTTGAATTGATTCAACTTCAGCTGGTTTCCGAAACTCGTCTGGTCGATATTCTTTACCACCCATAGCTTGAATTTCTTTCCTTACAGTTGCCATCCAAGCGCTCAATTCTTCCGGGCTTTCAAATACAAGTAGGAAGCTAGAAGTAGACCGCTTCATCTGGCTTCGTAAACCTAGATTTTTGAACATTGACCTCGAAGCTTCCGTGTCCAATGACCCATTGTCGTGGGCGACTTGAGATATTTGCAGGACATAAGGCTTGCCAGGAATGGCATCGCTTGCAAAGGCGGCTGACTCCTTGGTCAACGACATAATCTTCTCAGGCAGTCTGTCAAATGGCCCTTGGCCAGCATACTGCAGGAAATAGCCGGAAGTAATTAAGACGAAGGTTTTCTTCGTCCAATCTCCCTTCGATAGCACATCTAATGCGGTAGGTCTTTTCAGCTTTTTTTCTTTTGAGGATTTCATTCCATTGACCTCTGGAGTGTACGACTCCACTCTTTGGTTCGAGCTGCCATTCCTTTCAGCATTGAGACGTAAGATTGTTTCTGCGGAAAGTGCGGGCGCTCGTAACGTCGCGTGCCTCACTGCCTGGGGATATGCTTGGAATAGTGGAGGTGGATCCCAAGCGGCTGAGCTCCTGCTGGTAATCTCCCTTCTGAAGGATGATCTGAGCGCTGATTTAGAGGTTCGGCTCCGCAGTGGAGCAGCAGGGGGGTCAATGTCTGGCCGGGCTTGAATTTCTGGGGAGCGAGGCTCGGAATCTTTTTTTTGTAATGCTGTCGTTTCAGCACTCTTTGATGTCCCCGCAGGCTCGTCACATTCCCATTGTACACCCAATTTCTCTTGCACTCCTTCAGTCGCCAATGGCTTTGATCTGCTGAAAAGACTGGATAGCCCGAACCTAGAAGTTCGCCGCTTCAAATTGGGTGACAGTGAGTCCGGGACTATTGAACTATGTTTGTTGCGCTGACTGCTTCGCTTTGGGTTGAAGACGGGGTCCGTGAGGACTGTGTGGTGAGACTGATGAGAGGGAGAGGGCTCGTTATTGAAAGGAGTCAGGGGAGGTGGTGGCCGCAAGCCATTGCGCGGAGGCTCTTGAGGGGTTTCTTTGGAAGACGTCATATTTAATGTTTGTGAGGAAAGCGAAGGGTTTGGTGTGGGCCACCAGGGCCTGAAGTCGGAATGAAGATTGGTTGACTTGGTCGAGGTCAACGGAGATACAGTTCGCGCATGACCTCCGACTGCATCGCATGAGACCAGCTTTCGCGTGAGATGACGTGTCAGAAAGCTGTGGAACGCTCTCCCGGACTGACTTGGGATACCTCGTGAATTATCTTTTTGCTGGAAGAGTGGAATGCGATGATTGAGAGGCAGAATCTAGTCTTGGAAGATGAAATCGGATGTTCAATTGACGACACGGATTAGGCGGTCGGATGGTAGTGGGATGTATGAGAATGATGAGTGGAGGATGCGGCATAGAAGCTGAAACAAACAATGCGAAGAAGGAGCGTGTTGGATAGAGTAGTGATCGACCACGCCTCCGATGAATGGCAGGCAGGCGATATCACCTCGTGGAAAGAAAGAAAGACAGAGAGTGTATGTGTGTATAAGAGGGTGTTCGTAGGGAAGGTGATAGGGCGAGAATACGAGGGAGTTGGAGACACGTCTGGGAGTCTTGGACGGGAGAGTTGGATTCGACACGCGCTGCGTTGCAACCCTCTGCAAGCATCCCGCAAACCTACGGTGGTGCTAGTCTAGCCTTACATGCTTTGAGTGACACTCAGCAGACAGCGGCTGATGGTCGTTAAAAAGTTGGCGCGACGCTGTAGCCTGTGACAAGGGGTGACAGCCTGCAATTTCCAATTTCTACGGAGAAGTTATTAAAGTACCTAGGTACATACATGTAAGTAAGGTAGAGAAATTAGAAATTAGAAATTAGAAATTAGAGAAATCAGCAGCATCTGTCAAACCCTGTCATCTTAACTAGTTAAGCGCACCGACCATCTCCGGAGCCGGAACTAGGGGTGACGCAGACCTAAGCACAGGCCATATATCCATTGACCTGCATCCAATCTCGATGTCTTGCATCGACAAACAGGACATGCTTCCGTCATGCCCATCTTTTTCAAACTTAAAAATGTTTAAAAAAAAAAGTCGAGAAGTCGAATTTGCCCTACTTCCCTATAATCAATTATATTTACAACTACAATTACAGGCAACAGACAAGACACATGCATCTTGGCGACTTCCATTCAAAACACGAAATGTTCTACCCTGAGTATTCAAGGCCAACTTATCAAAGGCTGTTTATCTCGAAGGATTTTTCTATATGCTTGCTGGTAATCAGTCAAAGGAACATCCAGTTGGGCAGCTTCCAGGCTTGGCCCAGCAAATCAGAAATCGCTCCCATGCGCCATCACATGGTTCCGGTGCATTACTCCTGCTTGGTGTAGCTTTTACAAGGCGTCACCTCAGGACTCTATTCTCTTATAGGTTAACCTTCAAGTACCGCGAACCTTCGGCAGTGAGCATGCAAGCCATGTGGATTATCCTGACAAGACAGCTCATACCTCAACACTCGCCACCAAACTTCGCAGCTGCACCGTCTACCACACCTGCGAAATGACGAATATTGGTGGCGCCTGCAAGGATTTCATGCTTCATGGAAGTTGGCCAACGAATTCCCATATTGTCGGCGGACCGCTTTGTCGGTGCCAAGTGTCCTCGCACCCCCGATGAATAACCTGTGTGCGAACGTCCATGTAGCCAACGAAGGAGCGATTGACAATGCCGTCACCAGCCTAGTGAGAAACTCCATGAGATTGCCGGAAGTGAAAGGTAGCCTTTCTCGTGGGTTCAACCCGACGCTGGCGGGCCCGCCGAAGATCACGCTGGCGCAGGGAGATCTTCATTTCCAGCAGCTGGAGCTTCGAGGGGCTTTTGATGTCGGGTCTACGAGCCTTTTCGGGTTCAGATGATAGCAATAGATGAAGTTGCGGGCGCGGCAACGCGGGCTTTACTGTGGGTCTCCCGGCGTCGTATCTATCCGGATTAGACACTTTGAGGACACCCTTTAAGAAAGGTCAGCAGAAACGCGTGTGAAAAACCTTTTTTAGTGACCACGTCTCACTTCTGCCTAAAGAAGCACGTGCTATACACATTGACTATGCTCACGTTGATAGGTACTTCGAAACTCCGCACATTTGGGAGACTCTGCGCATTCGAGAAGAGTAATGGTATTCTGCCTCCACACAACGTTCGGAAACCTGCAAATACCAGCAGTGATGAACAAGATGGTAGGGTCCACAACTAATCTCCGCTCCGTACACGATGTGAGGCCTTAGATGCCAATCAAGCACAAAAGTATAAATTCAGCAGGATTGACAGTCTCGCGGGTGACAGAAAAGCCTGCACACCACCAAGCGATCCTCCCAGCCTAATGTTTGGAATGATTCTATCAACACCCTCTCACATCGCGGTAGATTGTACTACTTCTGCGAACCGAAGTATTCTTAATAGGAACTTCGTTGGCAAAGCGTGATCGATTTGTAGATGTTAGGTGTATAGGCCGATCTGTCACCCGCGAAACTGTCTGTTTATTCACGTGTTCTATCTACACGTGACGAGCTCGCAGAACAGACAGCTCGGTACGAGTTGCCTCCGAGATTACCAATTTTCCGAAGAGGACCAAGATGGTTAGACTTACGAGTAGGGTTTCTATCCAATGACAGGACACTGAAGCTCTCTGCGTGTTCGCGGTCTTACATATCGTTTATAGCGCAAAATATGACAGCTGACAGGTATGAGATTTATTGTCTCGAAGCTAACGATATGTACATCTTGTGCAGAAGTTAGATCACCGGGAGATCCGGGTGAAATGTTGGGGCTCGATCGCTTCGCAGGAAATTCCATCATTGTCCATCCATTTTGTTGAGTCACCACGGCCGACAAAGAGGAAATCATCAACAAAGTATCAGTTGGCTTGGCAACTCGAACCCTGTTCAGCCTTCCCAGCCTGCCCCAAGCGCTGCTGCAGACCCGTCTCCATTAGATCCTAACCTGGTAAGCATTATATCTTTGAAGCCAGGCGAGGGTCGTTGTTTTCTTCCCAAGTTGTTGAAACAATTGATGATCTAAACACGACAGGTAACATGGGCTGGTCCCGAAGATCCGGAGAACCCCAAGAACTGGCCAACAAGTCGAAAATCGACGACCCTCCTTCCAATGTCATTGTTCAATTTTCTATCCTCAATGAGTTCGGCCACCATGGCCCCAGCATTGAACACTATTCAGCAAGATCTCCATTTCCAATCCACCCTCCTTGTCGTCTTATCTCTGTCAGTCTTCCTTTTAGGCACTGCGGTGATACCTCTGTTTACGGCTCCCCTCTCCGAGGTTTTGGGGAGATCGATAGTCCTTCAGTCAACTAATGTCTTCTACATCATCTTCAATACCCTGTATGGTGCTGCGAAAACCCAGAATCAACTAATCGTCTTCCGTTTCCTCGCGGGCTTGGGTGGAGCCGGTCCCTTTGCTGTAAGTCTTCATTTAACTACTGTGTAATGAACATGGTTGGCATATTTTTGAATGCTAACACTCGAGCTGCAGATTGGAAGTGGCATCAATGCCGATCTGTTCCGACCTCACGAAAGGGGCCAAGCCATTGCGGTCTATACCCTTGCACCTCTTGTTGGAGTTGTTGTAGGCCCCATTGCAGGTGGTTTCCTCGTCCAATACACATCGTGGCGATGGTGCTTCTATGTTGTTTCAATTGCTGGCGGCGCGGTCCAGGTCTTCGGCTTCCCCTTTTTCCGCGAAACTTACGCCCCAGTTCTTCTTCAAAGAAGATGCAAACGGTCACGAAAGAGCACCCAAAATCCGGATTTGTACACCCAAAATGATAGGGTGTCTCTTTCACAGCTACTGCGCACTAGTCTCATCAGGCCCTTCATGCTGCTTGGAACCCAACCCATTGTGCAGGTCTGGAGCTTGTATTGTGCATACCTCTACGGTATCCTTTATCTCCTGATTGCAACCTTCCCGAATGTCTGGACGGATACCTATGGGGAAACCGTTTCCATTGGCTCCCTCAACTACATCTCATTGTTTGTAGGAATGGGTATAGCTTCACAACTTGGAACACGCCTTGCCGATAGGTATTATAAGAAGTTGTGTGAGGAAAACGGCGGGCAGGGTCGTCCTGAGTTTCGTCTTCCTGTTCTCATCATAGGGGCGTTCATGGTGCCGGTGGGATTATTCTGGTACGGATGGAGTGCGAGGTCCAGCATTCACTGGAATCTTGCCGTGAGTAATCATCTGCTCTTGACTCTATACCTATCAGGGCCTCTCGTCTGTATTGATGAAAACAGACTTGGAAATTCCACTCAAGAAAAGCCTAGAGGCACAATTTCTTTGATGCTGACTCACATTCGCAGGAACATTGGGGCAGCCATTTACGGGGCCGGCACCGTTCTGGAGTTACTTTGCGTCATTGGTTACATGATTGACACATATCAAAAGTACGCAGCAAGCGCCATAGCCGCTATCATCGTCCTGAGAAGCATTTTAGCTTTTGCTTCGCCTCTAGCTGCCCCGAGTTTGTAAGTCCTCCGCCGCTTGCTGCCTTCCATCCAAGTTTATCAGGCAACTCCCCCCTTCCTTCATTAGCCAGGTCATATTTTACTCTTTCTCACTGATGTATCAAACTAGATATGGCAACCTCGGTTTCGGGTGGGGCAATACCCTTCTCGCATTCATTGCTATATTCGTTGGGATCCCCGCGCCCATTCTTCTGGGGTACTATGGCCCAACCTTGAGGAAACGGAGTCCGTATGCGAGAGATGATTGAACATAGAAAGATTTGTGGAAATTAGATTACGAGTCGTTGGAAGGACTCTCAGGCCCTTAGTGCTTCTTAGTATCTTGCCCTAGTCACTTCTTACTTTCTAAATTTGTGATCATGAGGGTGTATCCAGAAGGATAGGTGGTATGAAATGTTGCTTCATGCTCAGAATGTTCTCAAGCCTCTTAGCTCACAAACAGTACATAGACAAGCAAACAGCTTGCCAAACCATAATACCAATACTCAAGCCAGCACCACATCCGCTACCGCGCAACTTTCCACCTCAAGTCCCCCGCGACCCTGAATCCACGTGCTTCATTTCTTTCACATCAAGCACTCAGCAAGCTCCCTATCCTTCCTGCCATCCTCCCCCCAGCGCCACCCTTTTCCTCTCGTCCTCTTCCCTCTTCCCTCACCCCGTCTCCCCATTCGCAGCAGCCTAACAACAAGCAATGATACAACTGCCCTACTGCGGCATGCGCTTCCGCCGCTTTTCCATAAAGTACACCAAGAAGCACTAGTGGGTGGTGACAACCCTTGCCGGTCCTGCCCACCCCACCGATTGGCATGACGGTACTTGGGCGCCTGCTGACTGTCGTGGCTGTCATCGAGGCATATCGTCGTCCAGACGTCGGATTCGAGCTCGTTGTTGACGTAAGGTATGTGAGGACGAGCCGGCCATGGGTGAACGTGCTTGACACACTCTAGCGTCCTTGAGCCTACAGTGGCGCGTCTTGGCGGAGGCACGTGCTACTACCTATCTGTATGATGCCGTCACACCTTGTACGATTCTCGCTCTCTAGAGTTACTGTCTTATCTATTATTACAAAATATTCGCGTTATTTTTAAACATCGATAGATTTATATTCTTTCGAATCTTAAATACTATATTAAATGACTTTTGACAACAAAGAGATGAATGTGCGAGAAGATTCATCTGAATACCTATCTGACATCTGCTCCAACGGACAAGAAGTTATCTTCCCGCTGATGGTAAATATGTAGGTGAAGCAGGACTTGAGAATCTACGAGCGGATGCCATAGTTGCGAAACAGTCGGCGAGGGAAGGGAAAGATTCCGAAATGTATTGATAGGTTTGCACCGCTCAGCCTGATCCCCCACGCACACGGTATGCCCCACGCCGTGTGCCTTATGCCACATCTCCCACGCTGCAAAAATCATCATTCACGGATCTGCTTGTATCTCGGTCGAATGTTTCGTTTCGAATCATGCGGCTGGGTATCATGATTGGTTCATATCCGTACATGCAGTCATCCAAGGCTGCGAAGTGCATGTAGGTGCAGCCATCTTACAGGTTCCAGGAATATCTAAGATAGGGATTTTGATCCTGAGCAAAAGCTTCGGTCCGCAGTTCTAGAAGCGCACCAATCGGAAGCCGGAGTGGTGTCAAAAGCTGATCAGGCTGGTGTACCCCACCTGTCGATACTTCAAATGCGGTTTCAAATGATATAGGGCGGCTTGGGGTCATCGATCGCTGTGTCGAACCTGATTCTTTCCAAACCAGAGATACGAACAGAAGTAAAGTAATTCGGATGGCACTGGGGCTCGGAGCGAAAGGCGCAGCAGCCTCATCGATGCTTCATGATGGGGTAGAGACCTCTTGGCACAAGTGTAGAATAGACGATGCGTTCGCGTTTGGGGCGAGTGATGACAAGGGGATGTTTTTCTTACGAAGAGCATTTATTGAGAGTGGGAGGGTCTCGGAAAACCAATCTGGAAGGATGGCAAAAACGCTCGGTGTACAGGTCGGATAGAATTGCATGAAAAACATGGATTGCTGGGATGGGGTTCTGACTTGTTCGAACTTGTGCGTGAGCAGGAAGTGCTAAGATCTCGTGTATGAGACGGTACTTGAGAGCATGGGTGCATGACAGGGGGCGGGTGGAGGAATGCGTGGAGGCTGAGGCTGCAGGATTGGGGAAGAGTCTGAATGAATGGTGGGCTGGACGGCGACCAAGTGAGAGGGGAATTTAGAGGGACAAGGGTGGGACTGGAGAAGGTAAAGAACCAAGATGCTGGTTACATACGAGTACCCCTTCCTTCGGCTACACCGGTGCTCGGCTCCAAGACTTCAGCCTTTGCTGACATGCGTTGATGATCGATGGGACAACGCAATCGTGCTCTTTTCACGTGCAGAGAGTCTGTCGATCGGTCGATAGAGTAGCGCCATCATCCTCACCGACGTGCTGACAACTTCTCAACTCCTTCCTTGATCATAGAAATTTGCGTGAACGATCGCTGGTCTGGGGCACGTTCCAAGTCACATCATGTCGCCTTTCGACGATACGGGCAGAATACACAAGTGGCCTTTGCTGGTCTGTGGGGCTCTCAACTCTGTGCGTGGCTTGACTGAAAGAGACTAGATATCCAACTCCGTCCTCTTTGGCGTCTGTCTAGCAAGCGTTAGCGTTCGATACTACGTCCGCTTTTTCATACAGAAACAGTTGTCGATAGACGATGGCATTCTACTCTTCGGGATTCTATGCTTGATCTCAGCCATGGTCTTACTGATCATCTTCGTCGACGATTTGTTCCTGGTCGAGGCACTGGAAGGAAGCACGATCCCGGCCGACTTGCCGGTAGACTTCCTTCAGCGTGTCTTCGATTTCGAAAAATTGGTTGTTGGTGGTCTGGTGCTGACGTGGTGTGCTATCATCTCCGTGAAGTTCAGCTATCTGTTCTTATTCAGAAAGCTTATTGATCGAATTCGTCCTATGGTCCTTTACTGGTGGGTTGCTGTGATATTCAATGCGTTGATCTCGATTTATGGAATTATCATCTATGCCGTTATACGCCCTTGGTATTGTACCACTATTTCAGGTATTCTAGGATTCTTGCTTTGACCCATCCCTATGATTTGGGAACAATGACTGATGGGTTTGGTTCAGTGGAGTGTTTGCAGGGAAACGGTCTAGACAAATCATTTGCTTTCGCAATCAGCCAGATGGTTCTCGACATCTTCGGTGATCTCTTGAGTAAGTTTCACATGGTTTGACCGTTTCATGACTGATCTCTGCCCGCAGTATTGGTTATCCCCTTCCACCTCATCTGGAGGATCAAAGTCCGATTGTCGCAAAAGCTCGTCTTAGCGTCAACCCTCTGTTTCACCGTCCTAACCATCATGTGCACAATAACCCGTGTCGTCGGTGTTCGCACGAGCTCCAGCGATTCCTCCTTAGACACCGTTTGGCAGACATACTGGCAGTACATCACTGCCAACATCGCGCTGACCATGACAGCGGCTACAGCCTTCCGAGCGTTCTTCATCTCCAGACATCAAGACAGACCAGCGCAGAGACAGGGATCCAACAAGTCTTGGATTAGTAGGAGTTGGCGGTTCTTCAAATTGGTGCTGAGGCCGTGGTCATGGCAAGGGAAAAGCAGCGCACTGCAAATTGGTGAAGACTCCAGTAACCGAGGAATAGAACTGCCATTGATCGAAGAGCGGGCCACCATGACTGGCATGCGGACTTTCATCAACCGGCAAGGAGAATTCGGTGAAGAATAGCGCCTGCAATCCTTGAAAGAAGGGGTATTGGCTGGAAAGAGTTCCGGCTGAGGGATTTACCTTCCACGTTGTCCTTTGCCAATGAGGAAGATGATACGGCAGCCTTGCAAAGAAAAAGCATCGACTAAACAAATTATGTGAAAATAATGATCCCGCAGCCGAGCTGAACACATGCCAGACACATGTATGTAATGACCACAGACCGTTAACAGCCACTGAAATCCATGTTCCAGAGATACAAGAACTTGATGTACCATCTCACCACGATTCCATTGGCCGGGTGTGTCAATCCGCCGCAGCAGCTGACAGACACTGCAGATGATCGTCTCCCTGCAGGACGTCGATCGGCGGGACGACCGGTGTCGCAATCAGATATTATTCAGCCCTCTGCATGCAGGGGGTTCGCGACTTTGGGCGATGGTGGGCGCGCCCAGGTATCGAGGTTGCCTTATTTACCGGCTCACCTATCTGGATCGTTCGCTTCGTCTTTCACAGAATATAGCATCAGTCTCTACTCTGCTCTTCTGCTCTTCTCCCCGGACGCTCAACTGGGGAAATCCGTGCAGTGTTCTCACTCTTACAGAAGAAATTGATGTGGTAAACGTAGCCTTCGCGACAATCCACCCATCTTCGAGATCACGATGCACTCGAAACTCCCATACTTAGCGCCACTCGTCCTTCTTCTCTCCTCCAGGTCACATGCCCAGAATCTATCCAATCTCCCCTCCTGCGCAGTACGTCGCTCAGCACTCACTCACCATTCCTTCTCCCCCCCCCCTGCCCTCCCCACAGCCCCACCGACTCGGCTCGCCACTCTCCCCAAGCCATCCTTACGAGAAGAAGACCAAGCTAACACCATACTTCCCTCTTCCCCAGCAAAGTCCCGCCCTCTCCGCTATCGGCTCGACGGGCTGCCAAGCCAACGACTTCGCATGCCTCTGCAAAGACAACTCCTTCATCAACGCAGCCCTCGCCGGAGCAGAGAAACAGTGCTCGCAAGCTGATTTGCAAAGTGTGTATTGCCCCCGTCTCATAACCTTTCTCCCCCAGCCCCACCTCCGAGGTCCAGAAACAGCGTACAGGCGCGATGATCGCTACGGAAGCAAGGCGGTACGAAAGCTTCCAGATGTAACGATCGACTGACCGGGAATGTTTCCTCCAGAAGTCCTAGCCTTCGCGCAACAGATCTGCGGTAGCGTGGGCGTGAGCCTCAGCGTTAGTGCCAGTGTAGAGGGAAGTAGTACTCCCTCTCCGATCACCAACACACGTACACCCACGCCAATGCCCTCGCCTGTGACTACCAGCACACAAGTATTGCAATCTGCGTCCCCATCGAGGTCTGCGCTCGCAGCGGCTACGACGGCGACGAGTCAGGCGAGCGATACTGCAACAAGCAAAGTCAGAGGGACTGCGACTTCTGGTGCCAGTGGTTGGGATGCGAGATTCGGTTTGCGAGGCATGATGTGGAGCGGAGCGGTCGTGGGATGGTGGTTATTTGGGGTTGGGGCGTGAGGGAAAGAGGGAGGAGGGGGAAGGAGGCAGTTTTGGTTTGTTTTCTCTATACAGATTGAACGCAGCCTGTTGCCAATTCATTTGGTTGCGGGAAGTCTCGAACTATGAATCCCGGATTAGAAGTGTTTGAATAGACAGAATCCATGTGAGAGCTGAGACTATCTTGGTCTGATGTTTTGACAGTCAGTCCCGACTGCGCATGCAGCAACGGAGCCCCCCCCCCCACCCAAAACAGTCTGCAATAGAAAGCTCAAATGTACATATCCTGAGATTTAGGCGTACACATCAAAGTCCTCATCGAAGGGTTTCCCGCCTTGACGGCCTTCGCCCATATCTTCTCCATGGCGGGGACATGTGTGAAGAGCCATGGTCAAAGACGTTGTGCCTGTAAGCACGCAGCGCAGCCCGCCCTTCCTCATCATCCATGAACTTCTGACGGAGTTTTGTCACATGGAAGATCTCCGTCTCATCATCCATGATCTCAACCCAGTGCACCAGTATGTTGGCATACTCTGGGTTCCAGCAAAGCGAGAAGACCCAGAAGGCTTCGACTGCACCAGTCTTCTTCTTGTAGCCGCGCCCTTCGACGTATGCTTTCAGTTTGACGAGTGACTTTAGGACAGCGCCGCAGTCGCGTTGAGCCTGGTTACGGGCATGGGGGATGGCGGTTTGGGCGGGCTTGGCTTCGAAGATGAAGAATGGCCAATCAACGATGCAGCCTAGGCTCTTGATCGCTTTGATGTCGCTGGGTCCTCGCGTTCCGGGCTTTATGAATTGGGGTCGCAACTTGCCGAAGACTGTGTCGGGGTTGGGTTCGGTCATGCCCAGCGCCTTCACGGTGTCGACCTTCCCTGGAACAAATCCTGTTGCCAGATTTGGCTTTTCCTGGCTTCTCAGACCATCATTGGCCGCATAGCTTTCCATCATTATCATCATCTCCCCTTCGGCATCCCGATTTTTCGTCTTCTTCACCATCTTCAAAATTGTCAATGGGTATGTGCCGGGAGCTAATACATTGTACCTCTAAGCACGCACGCAATATTCAAGAGCGGAGCACCGTCAACACGTGTGAATTGGAAACAGAAAGCTGGCATGCATGGAAGCTGGGAAGCTTTGGGCTGCGGACTTTTCATCCGAGTGTATAAAGTAAGCACACCGTAGCATGTCATGACCAGGCCCGAGAGAAATGTTCCTTGACCTCACACCTTATCAGGCTTAGGTCTAGCGATATTTCACAGTTGTACAACGCTGGTGAGAGTCGCATTAGTCTTGCGAGCTCTAAAGCTCAGAGCTCGCAAGGCTTCTCTCACAGAGTCTTGAGTCCTCTATAAGTATTTGCTTGTACTTGTTGCTGTTTTCATTCGCCGCTGAAACGGAATCAACAACAGATGATTCAGTCAATAATAGCGTTGATGACAATGCAGTACGAAACAGCTACACTCTACGTGTCGAGATACACGCTTTCTTTTCTCGAAGGCTGAATTGGTCGCGTTGATAAAGAAGCATCGCAGGATAGAGAAATATCGCAGAGTAGAAGAGTATTGCAGGGTATGAAAACATCGTAGGGTAAGAAGGTATCGTATCGTAAGATACATAATTTTGGTAGGGTATGTAGAGGGTAAAATACTCTACTTGAGGCCCAGCCACGCTAGTGGAGGGAGCTAGACAGGGCTATTGATTGGCTGATTCAGACGTCAGGCTTAGATTCCATCACCAAGTAGTGTATTTCACATCAAAGAATGTTGCGATTTGCGCGATATTACTGTAGCACTCTACGATTGAACACATAGTTGTCAAATGAAGATATTTTGAAGCTATACACAATTGTCACTTTACAAAAAACCGGCAGAACTTCGGTTCCGGGGGCTAAATGAGAAATTGGGTACGCAGCCATGAAATGGAGCTCTATGACTGCACTCCCTGCACATAGCGATCTAGACGACTGAACTGTGCCAGAAACACGTCATCGACCGGCTTACTGACATATCTTTGCGCGCGAGACTAATCCAGGAGGGTGGTGAGGTGCAGTGTGGTGTGAGTGTACAGGGAGAGATGCTCTGGTGGAGTGGAAGATCTGAGCGACATAGCCTGATCAGGCGACCCAGGTTATACTTTTATATGTAGAGTGGTTCAAATGGACATAGATAGCTGCTCTCCTAATTTGCGGGCGCGATTTCTTGTCTAGACCTGACTACAGTTTTGATGCCAAGACGGCCGGAACTACATTAATCCCCTCCTACTAGCGTGGCCCTCCCGAGCACAAGGGAAGGGATAGCGGCCACGCCCGTGCCAAGGAAAGGAGCCAAGCAAGACCAAGCACAGAGGTTCGGGGAGGACTGAAATATTTAGCCTTAGGGTTTCTGTTCCGTGACTACTCCTAAGCCCGAAATCTGAAGCTCTCTAATGTCGTTGATGGCTCAAAGAATGGCAGCTGGCGACGCATGAGAACATGTCGTCTTGAAGCTGGTGATACATTCATCTTATACAGAAACCTGATTACCAGGAGGTCCGGGCGAAATGTGGGGGCTCGATCGCTTCTCAGGCCATTCCACCCCTTCTGGCTCTCCTCCACCACAGAACAGATCATTTTCACCTGCGCCTCGACGTCCCAGTCACCTCGGGCCTGGACTTGCGGCGAGACCACCACACAATCCTCGATCTTCATCTCTCAACGTCTCCGGCAAATACAACGCTTCCACCACGTCATTGAACTCTCCACGTCTGCCCAATGGTTCGGGTCTAAAGCAGCAGATCACCCCGCCAGCAGACTTCACGAACCCACTGAAATTGCTAGAGGAGATAGTTGGGCGCCCAGTAGCTGACGAGGATGAGGGGCATGGAGAAGAGGGTCAAGGCCAATGGGAGAAGCCGGCTGACCTGGTCGAGGATGTTCATTTTGGGGGGCGGAGCATACATAATTTCTTGGAGGACGAAGATGAACGACACGACATTGGAGATTTAGACTCCTATGACAATACCGCACAAAGTGCCATGGAATGTGAGTATGTATACTCTTACAAAATCCCACTGTTCTGATACTGAACGTCGGCATCAGATGAACGAGCCAAGGACAAGTTTGAGGACTTGCATAGATCCATCCTCGTAGATCTTCTCCTAGTCAAGGTAATGCCTGCGTAATGCTGATGCTTTGTTAGGCATGCGACGACGTTCTCAAGTCCGTCGAAGTTTCCCTGACAAATTTTCAAAAAGACCTGGGTGCAGTGTCAGCCGAGATCGAGACCCTTCAATCCCGCTCAACTACTATGAACATCAAGCTAGAGAACCGAAAAGTGGTTGAGAAGCTTCTGGGTCCTGCCGTCGAGGAGATTTGCGTTTCTCCTACAATAGTCAAACAGATCTCCGAAGGTCCAATCGACCACGCTTGGATCAAGGCGCTTGAAGAACTTGACAAACGATCCAAGACAATCGAACACAAATTCAAAGGACCTGACAAGGTCCTTGCAGTGTCAGAGGTCAAGCCGCTTTTGGAGGACCTTACCAACTTGGTGAGACTTGCGACTTTTCAACAAGACCTGACTGATATCTTCACACAGGCTATAGAGCGAATACGTGACTTTCTGGTCTCTCAGATCAAGGCTTTACGTTCACCAAGCATCAATGCCCAAATTATTCAGGAGCGAGCATTCATTGCTTACAAGGACCTCTATGCTTTCCTGGCCAAACATCATGCCCAGCTTGCCGATGAAATTGCTCAAGCATACATTAACACTATGCGTTGGTACTACTTGAGTCACTTCACACGCTATAGAATGGCTCTTGAGAAGATCACTCTGTACACTGTGGACAAGCATGATGCTCTGGGAGATCAAATGAACCAACGAGGTGTGTCTTTTGGCCACGAATGCTATATCCTGCTCACTAATTGGTCATCCCAGGCGCCGCCTCCAAAAGTGCCCAACCCGCTCACGACGCTCTCTCACTTGGTCGACGTATCGACATTCTGAAGCGCGCCTCTTCTTCTGCGCTTTCCTCCCATGTAGCGGAGCAGTCAAAAGCTCCCACGTATCTCGAAACCCCTTTCTACGCCTTCAATACCGCCTTGATCGACAATGCTTCCTTCGAATACTCCTTCCTCACAAGCTTTTTCACTAACTTATCATTTCATGTCGTCTCCCAGCACTTCAATTCGATATTTGCCCCGACTTTTGCTTTGGGAAATGCTTTTACGAAACATCTAATAGATACTTCCTACGACTGCTTGGGAATACTACTTTGCGTTCGTCTGAATCAACATTTAGCCTTCGAGCTGCAACGGCGGAAATGCCCAGTCGCGGATGGATATGTTAATGGCACGAACATGCTTCTTTGGCCGAGGTTTCAGTTGGCTATGGATGTGCATGTTGAATCTGTGCGGCGCTCTACAGCTTCGCTCTCAGGTGGCTCCCGCGCTACATTGTCCTTGATGAACTCAAGTGCAGATAGCAAGGGGTCCACAGCTCCCCACGTTCTGACTCAGCGCTTTGGGCAATTTCTGCAAGGCATCTTGGCGCTCGGCAGCAACGAGAATATAGCATCAGTCACAGGAGAGGCGGCACCGAGTGATGCCGAACCTGTGGGCCGCAGCTTGGAACGCTTGCGCGGGGAATTTGAAGCTTTCTTGATGAAGTCTTCGAAGGGACTAGTACAGGGGAGAAGGGGAAGGTTCTTAGGGAACAATTACAGTCTTGTATTGACTATTGTAGGAGATACGGGCGGCAGATTGGCGAAAGAGACGAGGGAGTGGTTTGAGCAAGCGAAGGAAGGTGTTGGAGAATATTGAGACAACGCGGAAGTAGAAATATCCAAATCAATCATACGTTGATTCGCGGTCAAGTATATGAAGCACGTGAACTGCTTGAACAAAGGGTTTTCATATCGCTCGGGGATAAGGTCGGCAATAACAAAATTCTGGTTGCGCTGTCCTTTCGAGGAGCGCCCACGACTGTTGTAAGATCTTAGAAAATCGAAAACCTTTGTACAAAGAATTACAGAGACTAGATTCGCTCAGCACCACCATTCAACATGTCAGGCCCACCACCTCCGGGCCAGCAGCCCACCCCTCAGCAACTGGCAACCATCCAGCAACAAATCGCCGCCGAAGCCCAGAGACGAGGCATGACGCCCCAGCAGCTGCAAGCCCAGCAACGGCAGCAGATCCAAGCCGAAGCCGACAAAGCTGGCTTGACCTTCGACCAGTACATCAACAAGCTCAAACAACAAGCTTTCGAAAACCATCAACGCCAGCAGCAAATGGCGCAGCAACAAGCTCAGAACCAAGCTGCACAACCACAAGGGCAACCGCAGATGCAGGGGCAGCAGGGGCAACAGGTGCCTATTACACCGGGAGCGCCGGATCCGAGGGCATTGGCGCTAGCAAAATGGTTGAAGGGTCAGGATTTGAAGCCGAGGACTTGTATATTGAATGGGCAGCGAAAAGATATGTTTAGAGGTATACATTACGCCTTTCACCTTCGTACATATCTCTACGAGGTCACTAAATGCTCGAGCAGTCAAACGTGCCCTCCGAGCCATCGACTCCGCCGCCTACACGAAAGCCCGCAGTAAAAACCCTCTCCTCCCCGAAATCACTACCGCAACCCCAAAAGCCGAAATTTTCAAACTGCTCCCCCTCTCCCTCCTTGCTCTACGTGTGTCAAAATCAGATCCCCACGAAGGCCATGGCCATGCTCCTTCGAAGCCTCAAAAGCGAGTTAAGGGGCTATGGACCGTTAAGATCGAACAGCAGCAGGATATAAACGATGATCTACATTATGTCTGGCTGTACGAGGGACCGCAATGGCGGACAAAATTGTATGCGGTGGGAGCTTTGATACTGATTATGACGGTCGTCATGTTCCCACTGTGGCCTGTTACGTTGAGGATTGGGGTTTGGTATCTTAGTATGGGCTTCTTAGGCTTGATAGGGTTGTTCTTCGCTATGGCTATCTTCCGCCTCATACTATTCTGCGCGACGGTCTTTACGGTACCACCTGGACTATGGCTATATCCGAACCTCTTTGAGGATGTGGGTTTCTTTGATAGTTTCAGGCCGGTATGGGGGTGGCAGGAGGTGAGTTACCATTCAGCTTGTATTTCAACTTGAGGAGCGGGCGGTGAGGCTGATCGCAATCCATGAGCAGGACAAGAAGGCGAAGAAAGCCAAGAAATCGAAGAAAGGAGGAGGCGGGGAGAAAGCGGCTGCTAAATTGATTGAGGCATCCCCATTGACAAATGGTACGGAAACAACGAATGGGCAAGTCAGCAAGCGGCACGCGCATGCTGCGCCGAGGGTTGAAGAGGTGGAAGATGAGTAAATGATCCGGACCGCTAAGAAGTAGCTTCAGTCATGCCGGCTAAGCATGCAGATTGTACTATGGACGTGAGGACATTGGCGTTGATGGCCTAGAATGGGGGTTTTGTCTTGGGTGGTGGAGTAAGCACATGCTTCATGGTGTACCATAGAAGTGTGAGATACTTCTCTTTCGTGCAAGGATTTGACGTTTCTGAACTGTTAAGATCTGAGAATCGGGGCAGTTGATCCCGCGAATAAGATTCAAACGATTCTGCATGCATGTCTCAGTTTTTCTTTTGGCTTTTTTGGTTATAAACAGCGAGGTATTTATCTTGCCAGATCTCTTTTTGTCACCGAAAGACTAGCCAAACCACCGCCAATTCAGCGAAGATTACAGGCAAGGCCCTTTGTTCCCAGCGAAGTTCCTCTTACTGATATCCTGCGAGACCAAGAAGCCCAACGAGCTCCCCCATCCACTCCACACCAACACATACCAAATCCACACTCCTGCCCAGGCGACAAGATGTCACTATTTATCAACCTCGACAGCCAATCGGGTGCCACCGTCAGAGGCATGCTCTTCGGCGTGCTAAAGGCTCTCTCCCCCATCGCCCTCTTCTACTTCACCAGACCCCACAGCCTCCACTGGAGCACCTACTTCTTCCCCTTACCGACCCTGGCGGCAGCGGCCAGGCTCTCTTCGAGGGCCGTCGCATTGCACGCTTTGACGGAGAGAGAGAAACACTGGTATACGATGACGATGAACGGGGCGTTGTTGAGCGACGAGCAGATGGAAATGGGGCAAGGAACGGGGTATCTGGCTCAGAAGTTGGTCGGACTTATGAAGGTGGATATCGAAGAGGATTGCCGGAGGAGAGGTCAGCGGTGGGGACGGCGGGCGGAGACTTCGAAAGGCAGAGTTGGTGGGTTGCATAGTGCTGGGGCGCTTCAAGGATTTTCGCTGCGCCTCGTTTTGATGTATTGGTATGATGAGAAACAGAAGAAAAGCTCCACTCCGTTGTTATCGACTGATGACTGCAGTGCTAAATATTTACTTACATAGTGAGCTTCCCCTGCGCTGTCGATTTGGCAGCTACCGCCAGGATGTAGCGGGTTTCGTATACGTTTTCACGAACGACGTTGTGGATGCCCAAGGATTACCTGGTGCATATCGTGATCGTGAGCCGTGGTGTCCACTTCGACAATCTCTGGTACTTGTTGATTGGTAAAGCGATCTTGTTCTTCGCTCCCAATTAACCCGACGTGAGTGAGCGTTAATTCTTCCACATCTCGAGCTCGCTCTTTCAGACCTCGCACGCAGCCCACCCTGGGTAAGTACAAAGGAGGGGCTGTCGCCGGTCACTGAATGAGCTGACATGTGGAAACATTGCCAGAGAAGCCGCATACCATGCGCTTGGAAGGTGTTAAAGTGGGCGATGGCTTGGGCTGTCTGCTCGTTCTAATGTACGCCCTGTGCCGTAGGGTTTACTGCTGAGGAATGGCTTTGCGTGGTAATTCGCTTGTGTTGTTGGTACATGTTGTGGGCTGTGATATACGTGCCGGAGGGTTGGGATCTGACCTAAACTTCCCTGATCAAACGGCAGCCGTGTCGACCTGATTCACCATGAAAGAGGCAGATTCTGATAGCATTCACAATTTTCGGTCTTCAGAGTCGAATCAGATTTTGGTTTCTTCATTGACATGCTGATGATCTGAGCGTTGTAGCCGCTTCGTAATCTAAAGAGGCCAGCACCCATTTACATGAAAATGCCACAGCCCTATTGCGTAGCTAATCGATCTCTTCCTCAGTTGTACTTCCCCTGATGCTCTGCCCCTCAGGCTCTGATCCCCCCAGGACGGAAAGACCGGCAACAGATGACCAAGATCTCGACTCACAGTCCCAACTTTCTGCCAATACCAAGCGCACCCAGGATCGGCATGGATCCTCGCTATCTCCTGATTCCTTTCCTGCATCGTAGAAAATTGGGAACTATACCCAGCCATAAGCAAAAAGTCATGCAATGTAGGGGGGCATGTGACAAACCTTAGTCTGGACTCCAAGCAATGCTCGCAATAGATCTTCCCAGCGCGGATATCAAGCAGGATCGTCGCTTCTGCCGACTTCAGCTTCCATCCATCATACATCGACATCGGACGCAGGCAATCGTGGCAGGGAATTCGTTGCTGGCCGCCAACAGTAGGGAGGCATCTGTGCGAGTGTTCTTTCCTTCGAATGCCGCAGGCAATGCACGTGCGGTTTGCCTTCGTCTTCTTAGCGTCAGGATCTGAGAACTGAGCCGTATCTTTGACAAGCCCGCAGTGGGTGCAGCAACAGCGAACTAGCTCTCTATTGCGTGGGAAAGCGGCCTCGATGGCGGCATGTCACCTTACTACTTCTGCGAGGGTGAGGGTAGTCGTGTCGATGTCAGTGGCCCAGCCGCGGAATCTCTTGGACACAAGCTTGACGCTGAGATGATCTGTAGCGTTGACGCTACTTAGGATATTGAGTAGGGTTTCGTTAGGGACATTGTTGAAAGGCCCGAAAGGGGTGGCCATGCTGTGGTATCCTTAGCAAGGTCTTAGCTATTACGCACATAGTGCCATCAGGAACGTACTTTGGTGTGAGAAGTGGTGATATTTTGTCTTTCAGTCGCCCCTCAGATAGCACTTCTGAATTTGGCTCAAAACATCGGACAGGAGCGTCGCTCACCCGCAGGTTGAACGCTCCATTGGCTAACGCCCGAATGGAAATTATACAAGGGGATCTTTGAATCAAAAGAAGACACTAAAGGTTTCCGGGGGCCTCTGAGGTATATCCAGTGCCTAGTCCATTTCTAGCGAGTACTATGAGCTCCACAGTCGCAGCGTTATGATAGAGGGCTCTGGACCATCAAGTTTCTTGCATAGACTCCTCCATACATATAGAGAGAATTAAGCAACGCAGGGGTGATGCCATGGAACATAACATTCGAAACTGTTTTCAATTTCGGCACCGACAACATGTTCGAAGTCTGGAGTGACATACTTTTGGCGGAAACAAAGTTCTTTCCATAAGGGCTACCGAGTTGACAAATCCTTGGCCGGTCATGGCAACTCTCAGATTTGTGAGAGAAAGTGCATGCTCAAGACATAGCAGAGCAGTATTACTTAAGGTAAGCTTGTGCTGCGGAAGTGCCTTTTAGGTTTGGTAAGGGCGCCGCAAGGTTACACCAACATCAAGGACGGTCGATGGACGGAGCTGACGATTGAATATTTCGAAGAAAGATATGGGTATCGAAAAAATGAAGCTTGGATTGGCAATGTTTAAACGAGTGACACATTGCCATGATGGAGCGGGTGCATAGTCAATCATTCAAATCGACAACATGCGGACCTTTTCAGGTCGAGGGCAATGGTAGAATGCAAGCTGATTCATGCGCAAGATCATCTCGAGAGTGACTCTGGAGTGATTTGGACCGTGACCTATGGCTTCATCACGATATCTGGAACGTTGACTTTCCTCCATTGCCCAAGAGCGTAAGAAACTCTCTCTCCGTCACCAGGTATGTAAACATGCTGCTGGCCTGGAATGGCTCTAATGTAAGGTTTCCTTCGTATGGAAAAGTAAGGTTTATAACTCGTATATAATAATGGAAAAGAGTCTTTCAGGACCTAATTCCAAGGACCTAATTCAGAGACTTTACTCTGTAGGTTTGAGAAAAGACTGATTTGGCAACGATTGTGGGTTTGAGCCTGCGGCTGTCGGTATACGAAAGAACAAATGCCTGGACTGCGGTCCATGAATCTGCACTCCTAAACCTCAATACCCATGCTCGGCCAATTGTTGCTCGGTCCACTCCCACAACTCCCCCGCCAGCTTCGAGTCTCGCGAGTACTTGGACCCAGCATTCTCTGTGGCAGTAGGGACATAGTACGTTCCAGTTTTGGCCTCTTCGCTCGTCGCGGCTGGAAAGATTTCGGTGTCAGCATTGCCCTTTCAAGAGCGGTCTCCGAGTGTTGAAACAAGCCTACACAGCAACATTCCTGACACTTGATGCGAGTTTCGGAAATGGAACGGAAAGGAAAAATTCTGGCTGCGAAATCACATACCAAACAATTGCGTGAGAGCACCCTGTTGGACCGTCGTCAGGAATGGTGAGGCTATAGGGCGAAGGAATGCCGCGAGCCATGGGTGTTCTTTCTGGAAACCCAGGGAAAGTCCAGTGTCAATGCCTCCTGGGTGAAGGACAACGCTCTTGAGGGCGGGGTAGCGCCTAGTGAGTTCTCGCGTGAACAGGATATTTGCCAACTTCGACTGGCCGTAGCGCACCCAGGTGTTGTAAGAGGCCATATTTGAATGGGCATCTTTCAATACAAGTCCGCCTTTTGGAGGAAGCCTGTGCCCTTCTGAACTGAGATTGACGACGCGTACGTCTCCTTTGCCCTCCGCGGTGCGCTGCAATGTGGGCATGAGAAGCTTTGTGAAGAGGAAGTGACCGATATGATTGGTACCGAATTGAATTTCGTACCCCTCTTTGGTGGTGGAGGCAGGTAGAGCCATGACCCCTGCATTGTTGATAAGAACGTCAAGTTTATCGGACTCGGCATTGAAAGTATCGGCAGCTTTTTTCACAGACTCGAGAGAAGCTAGGTCCAGCTCTAGGAAGGTTATATTGGCATTTGGCGCTGTCCCTTTAATGTCTGATATGGCAGACTGTGCCTTGGATGGTGTTCGGGCGGCTAAGTAGATATGGGCGTTATGTTTGGCAAGCTGACGGCAGGTCTCCAGTCCTAGGCCATTGTTACCTAGGACTAAAGTTCAGTATATTGCCCGCTGTACTGACAGCCAGATCTGAATCTAACCTCCAGTCACCAGGATTGTCTTCCCTGTTAGATCAGGAATCTCCGTGTCCGGATCAAATTTCTTGCCGCCAAACATTCTGAACTGTCGTACGAAGAGGAAGGAGGATTCGAGAGTGTTGGATTGTCGGATAGCTGGATAGAAGAAGAGGGCAGTAGCACTGCATCTTTTGGCTACTATCCCTTGCCCCTAACGTCTTTCCGAGTGATCGCCCGAGACTTGCCGAAGACAGATTGGGGCAAGCCATGATAGATATCTGCAGCTTGGCAAGTAGAGTACAAGCACAAGCGACAATTTGCACTGGTGACCTTATGCCTTACGGAATAGAAGCGACATAAGAAAGCTGGAGAGTAGAATCCTGAGAACCTCAGTAAAGCAGGAATCAAAGCACGCAGGGGCAAGCACTTGGTGACCCCACACCCATCTAGCCATAGTGAGCCGAACTAGCTCGCCCCGCCAATCGCACTTTCTTCGAGTTCTTGACTCTTTCACGTCAAGAAAAACTTCAACTCTTCAACAGATACTCTAACCCTCGCCGCCGGCGCCTAGTCCCCTTTAGTTCCTATTTATCTATTCGCTCCTTTCATCTCGCTTTTATCAGCTTTCATCATGGCGGACGACGCCCAGGTAAGTGACATCCAAGCTGTCTCACAGACTTTCCCCCGCCAGACCGGCGCATGAGCTCGAGCATTTTCTTTCCAACTTTTGCTGACCAACTTGCCCATCAGCATGAGCATACCTTCGAGAGCGCCGATGCCGGTGCTTCTACCACCTATCCTATGCAGTGCTCTGCGCTCCGCAAGAACGGATTCGTCGTCATTAAGAGCCGCCCCTGCAAGATCGTCGAAATGAGCACTTCCAAGACCGGCAAGCACGGTCACGCGAAGGTTCATCTCGTTGCAATTGACATATTCACTGGCAAGAAGCTCGAAGACCTTTGCCCCTCCACTCACAACATGGACGTCCCTAACGTCCAGCGCAAGGAATACCAGCTTGTAATGATTCACTGCATACGCCTGCAAATTACATTTTGCTGACCGTTCACTAGCTGGATGTCACTGACGATAATTTCCTTTCTCTCATGTCTGACGACGGCACTACCAAAGATGATGTCAAGGTTCCTGATGGAGAGGTTGGTGACAAGATCGAGAAGCTCTTCCGCACCGAAGAAAAAGACACGAGTAAGTCGAACCTCTGTCAAGAAGTATGACTTTCGCTAATGTTTGCAAGACGTCATTGTTCTTACTTCCATGGGCGAGGAGGTGGCTATTGAAGCGAAGGAAGCCCCGAAGGCCGCTTGAAGGCTTTTCTCAACCAAAAAGTGGGCTTACATCCTCCGGAGAACAAAGACAGTAAAGTGGATATCATGGTTAACGTTGGTTGCTTTTGTGCACTTTAGCGGGGGATCGAAGCTGGCAGCCCAGCTTATCTTGCTACACTTCATGATGGATCTCCCTCAAAAGGTATCTTGGGTTTCGGCATATACCTTCTGCATGTATTAGGCGATGGATACTGCATGAGTTGATGATAAGGATGAGATCAATGTAGAAAAGAATTCAAACGCTGAGATATGAGGACACCGAGTCATTGAAAGTCGATGTTGATACACATAGGCAATATTTAAGTTTTCGATGTAGATCCGTTGCGCGACGTAGCTATGAACCTCTTCACTCCTATACACCCATCATCCAAGCCGCTCCAAGGCAAGGCCCATCACGAAGATCAGCATGCCTCAGAATAATACATGCCTAAAAAGTTGGAATACACGAAGGGTCAAAGGTGCGGCAAGGAGGATAATTGCAGATCAACGCTGTACTACGAAGAAAATAGCTTCCAGTACTGCAAGAGGGGGCATCTGCAGGAGGTAAATGGGGATCTAAGCCAGTTGGGCATTGAGCCTGACAGAGTCATATCCAGGGAATACCAACGCAGCAAGATGAGGATGACTTTGGCACCCAGGGTAGAAAGACCCGCGTCAGAAGGGAAACAAAAGAAAAGGTCTCCCAAAGTAAGCCCACGCCCTGCAACCCCGCTCCTCTACAGAACCTCTCTAACAGCATCCAGTTTACAGAGGCGCCACTGCTACAGAGCTCTACCTTCAATCCTATCAGCTCATCCTCTGGAAACAATGCTACGCCTTGGTCCACACCACTGGCCTCCCAGCAGAGCTCGAGACCGTGGTCAAAGACTTATGGGCGTTGCGGTTGCAGTTGCTGAAAAGCAAGACTGATGCTACCTCAGACGAGGACACGATGTTTAGCTCACAGCCGCAGAGCGAGACGGAGACAGAAGATAAGCATGAGGGTGTTGGGAGAAAGTGGAAGGTTAGGGGGAAAATTATGCCCAGCTTGATTGAGACGCTGGGACTCTGCTATCTGGGAACGATCCTGCTGCGATTGCCTGTTAGTATTGGGGAGATGCATCGGTACGTGGCTTGCTGTCTGAGCTTCGGAATAGACTTGTGCTAAAACGGTCTCGATGTCCAGGTGGGCTGTCAGAGAGGACATTCCTTTCATAAGGGCCGTGAGATTCGTACCGGCTATCATGAAGCAAAGGCTACCCGCACAGTACCTCAAAGCACTGGATACCACGGCATGGCTATCCAAAATATTGGAAAGGCTTGACTGACTTTGTACTTGCAGTCTCCGCTCGAGCTAGATCAGCTACGCAAGACGATCCATAATCTCTCTCTTTTCTACACACACCATTTCGCGCTCGTCTTCCCTCCACTCAACGCTCCTCTTTTACTCTACAAGCAGATACGCAATCTCTCCTTACCAAGTATGTCTAGGTACTATCCCTCTTCAAGTCTCCAGCTAACGAGACGCAGTCACGCTCCACCTCAAAACGCTCGAGATTTCTCGACTACTATTAATAACGTTCGCCTTTCCATTGCCTAGCTTTCGGCAGCAGATCTCTTCCTTGCCCGAAATTCAGCTGATATGTCTGCTGATAATAACGGTGAAGCTCTATCACCCATTTGACGGCTTTACCCGCCATGTGCGCTCTCTTGCAGACTCGGCTGTATTGACAATTGACTGGGCAACATGGGTCGACGTTCAAAGCTCTCACAAACTCCATGCTACCGGCGAGGCTCACGTGGAACGTGGAAGCGAGATAAATGTCACGGAAAGGGATGTCATGAATATGACGGGGGAACAGTTGGACGATTACATGGATTGGTACGAACGCACCTATGTCGACGAGTCCCGTGTGGAGGAAAAAGCTCGTGGCCTTCCAAAGCAGCTCCTCGACATGTTTCCAATAGGTCGTACAGATGGTTCCAGCCCTACGCCATACAATTACGATCAGATGGCTGTCAAGGAGCAGGAGACCATCGACAAGAGGCTCAATGTGGTGATGGGCAAGCTGCGTTTGCGCAATGTAGTCCCTGACAACCCTGAATATTCCGCTGGGGTTCATGGGGACTCGACTCGAATCGGAAGCTTCTACAAGAGATACAGGAAAGTTGAGGATTTAACGCCGCACGCCAAAGCTTTCCATGAAGCAGTTGCTGAAGCGATCGGTGTCAGGCTTGAAAGCCTCATTCTAGCGGTGGGACAGGTGGAGCGAAGCTTGGTGAAGTGGAGAGAGGCAAAGGTGAAGGCAGACAAAGAGGAAGGTGATGCGCTCATGGAGAATACAAGCGACAACAACGCTTGACCAACCATGAAGGTGCATGACCGCAAACGTAGTGGATTTCGGGTGAGGACCATGGAACTTACCTTCGGCTGGCGGCGCCGTTGCTACTGATATTCATAGTAGTTCCAGACTGTAGGCTTTCTCGGTTGTGTTGCTTCTTCTTGAAACACTGTTCCACATCCATGAACTTTTTCTATTCCAACTGGATCGCTGCAGAAGACATATAGCGTTATACACAAGAAAACTCTTGTGCGACATCTGCTGCAAGGAGTGGGCTCGTATTTCTACCAATCGCATGCGCAACCATTGTTCTGCTTCAATATCCTGATCGGCTCAGTCAGACGGCGTACCCTTTGTTTTAGACATCTATGGTTTTTTTACTCGGTAAAGAAACCATCTAAATCACTTTAAGAACCGTCGGAAGCGAGGGGCAGCGGCTGGATTGAGGGATTCGGAGCGCCATTTTACCCTCCGTCACAACAGTCCTCGTCTGCGGCAAGAGTCAGCACTTTGTGTCACCGAACTACATCTAGACATTCACTGTTATCACCCGCCTTTTGCAATTGGCAAGACATTCAGCGTACACCGCATAGCGCGTTGATCAGTGTCCGTGTACTAGGTAGGATTGTTATACCCAGCAATGCCCACAACATCAGCCGAACGTGTCTTCCACGCTATACCCGTCCCAGCCACAGCAGAATCGCTGTACAATCGCTCCTATTTCTACGTAGGAGGTGAGTATGTGGATGCCGAGAGTGGCGATGGCCAGCGTATATTCACAGGCCAGATGTACGTGGAGCAGCTCACGCCAGCTGGTGGTGTAAAGCACCCATGGCCAATAGTCTTTATTCAAGGAGGTGGTCAGACAGGAACGGTGGGTTAAGTCATTGCTTTGTCTGCTTCAAATTGTTCAATTCACTGCGCAGGCAAAGAACGCATGTCGATCATGACTTACGTCCTTTGAGAAAAGAGAAGGTGTGCCGTACGCGAGACACCCTGGGGAAGATCGGCCTGGGGATTGAAGAGCTAACAGTGCGAGCAAGCAGACCTTCCTCGCCAGTCTCAACGCAACTGTTTTGGATTGATCGTATCTCATCGCATGCTGTTGTCCTCTCTTGTACCAGGATTCTTTTGGCAAATTCGCACTTGGCATATCCATTAAAGCGTCCACCTTTCCTTTGTAATCCCTCGCTGACATCCATAATGCACAGAACTTCCTCAACACTCCTGATGGCCGTAAAGGGTGGGCATCCTGGCTCCTAGACCAAGGCTATACTGTCTACCTCCTCGACCAAATCTCGCGCGGCCGCTCTTCTTACCACCCTTCTACTGGCCCAACTATCACCTATACTGCCGAACTGGCCGAAAAACGCTGGACTGCATGCCGCGACTTTCAGCTCTGGCCGGAGGCCGCCCTTCACACGCAATGGCCAGGCTCGGGCCGTGTTGGCGACCCTGTATTTGATGCTTACTACGCCAGCACCGTCCCCTCCCTCAGGGACTATAGCGTGGAACAAACACTTATGCAGACCGCTGGAGCTAGCCTGCTGGACCGCATAGGGCCCGCTGTCTTAGCCACTCATTCTCAAGGTGGCACCCATGGCTGGCTGTGGGCTGACGTTCGACCTGAGCTTGTCAAAGCCATTGTCGCAATTGAACCCAGCGGACCACCTTTCCAAAGCACTATTGTCAAAGACGCCACGGTCAAGCTCTACGGTATAACGGACATCCCCATGAGCTATGATCCACCAGCCGATGCCACGATTGACGGCCAGGCACCATTGCAAACACACGAACAACCTGCCCTCAATGGCAGAACCTGTATCCTGCAACAGGAGCCTGCGCGAAGACTCAAGAATCTCTCCAAGATACCCGTGTTGTTAGAAACAGGCGAAGCAAGCTCCCATGCTTCTTACGATGAGTTCACTGTGCGCTTCCTTAGGCAGGCAGGCGTGAACGTGAAGCATCTCAAGCTTGCGGACGAGGGGGTTCACGGGAATGGGCACCTACAGTTTCTTGAGAAAAACAATTTGGAAATCATCGAGATGCTCGAGAAGTGGATCAAGACGATTGAATAATGTCCTCTTGATAGCTTCGCATAACTCCCACAAACCACGACCTGAGAAACTTGTTAAGATTCCCACCTGATGTATCAGTGATCAAATGTGCTGCTGTCTGCGTGCGAGCCTGCGTATTGCGTGTTTGTCCCGTCTAGATCCACTGTCTGATCCAGAAGTCCACTATGCAGTATCATCAGTGTATCCATGACAGATAGCATAAGCCCATTCGTATGCGGGTTTCTAATTGAAAAGAATGTACTCTATGATCCAAGCCCCAACGTCACAGGGTAATCCTCTACCCGAAGTTTTGAACCACAGAAGCTGAGAAGCTCTATCAAGGTGCACTCTTTACAGTCAACGTTCCTGTTTTCACGAAAGGTTTCACTCGAGCCTTTATGTCTAGTCTTATCCTTCTGAGAGCAGCATGTTGAGATTATTGTAGTAGTAGAGATCGCTAAGAGCGAAAATGTAGCTATAACGCCTCATATATTCTTGTCTTTGACTGCCGTAAACGATGATCTATTCCGTCACCCGTTAATTCTCTTACTCCACAATACTTATGTAGAGGACGTCGTGCCCGAATCAAACTAGCGCCAAGTCTCGGCTGGCAGAGCCATTTCGCCCCACGAACAATCCAAAACTCCAAGTCATCGACATCAAAAGACCACACCTAAGCACAGCAGGATCGAAGAACCGCAATCAGTAAGCCACCTTCCACATCGCCATGTCATTGAATCTACATGTACTAACTTCTGCTCTCAACCACAGTGCAGATGTAAGCTCCCGCGGCCCTCACCCACAACAGCCCGTCCGCCCACAGAGAACTGACAATGTCACAGCTTCGTCAAAACCCTCACGGGTAAAACCATCACGCTCGAAGTCGAATCCTCCGACACCATCGACAATGTCAAGGCCAAGATCCAAGACAAGGAGGGTATCCCGCCGGACCAGCAGCGTTTGATCTTCGCCGGGAAGCAGTTGGAGGACGGGCGTACGCTGTCGGATTACAACATCCAAAAAGTAGGTTGCATCCACAAAACTGTTGGTGGGGAGCAAGAGCAGTGGGCCAGGGAGGGAATCTGCCGGAGTTTCGAATTGTGCAGGCCTTTGGGAAACAAAACGCTGACGACCTGCACGTGAACAGGAATCCACCCTGCACCTCGTCCTCCGTCTCCGCGGCGGCATCATCGAGCCCTCCCTCAAGGCTCTGGCCTCGAAATACAACTGCGACAAGATGGTCTGCCGGAAATGTACGTCCCGGCCCCCTCTCCGATTCCCCAAGCTTGCCCGGGTTCCCAGCGGCAAGTGGGGGAAGACTGCTGACGGATGGGGGATTCCAGGCTACGCCCGTCTCCCACCACGAGCAACGAACTGGTAGGCGTTCTTTCGTGGAACATCGCGGGCTGCAGCTGACAGGACGTAGCCGTAAAAAGAAGTGCGGCCACACGAACCAGCTGAGGCCAAAGAAGAAGTTGAAGTAGAGGATACGCTGTGGCTGTGGGTTGAGCTGGACGGTTGAGATGAAAGGAGTTTGTGCTGTTGTTGTGTGCTAGGCGGATGAGATAGCATAGGCAAATACAAAGCTACTTGACTCGAAAGTCCGCGGGTTGTTGGGTTGATCTTGCCTATTTGTCATGATGACGCCCTCTGGTTTGTTTTACAGTTGGAAAGTGCATAAGCGAACGTTCGTCATACTTCAAGGATTCCTGCCATCATTCTCGTAGCTCATCGGTCTTCATCCCCAAGCCTCATCATTCATCATCATAAACACATCTAAAGCGCATTCCGCAATTGGTACCTAAGCCACAGTACCACCCTTCCCAACACGTCGCCCTTCTCCACGTCCTTCAGCACTGCCTTCGCCAACTCCTCAAACCTCTCCCTTCTCTCTTCCTTAGACCCAAAGTCCGTGTGGCTTTCATGGTCCGGTTCCACATCTAGCATGTCGTTCAACAGGCCTTCGCCCCCTCGATCGACTATTCGTTCGAGTATGTCCCCGTTGATATGCATGTAATGCGGTCGGGCAGCCGAAGGCTCAATGTGTCTTCGATGGGGCTTGCCTGGGTGGAAGGGGCAGATTATGGGGTGTCGCTCGGCCATGTTTTGAGTGAAGCGAAGGAAGCGCCATTCAATGCTAGAAAGGATAGACATTTGAGTCAGAGTACCATCTGCGGAGGAGCCGAGTATTACTTCATCCACTGGTGGTGAAGAGTTGACGGGCTTGTTCCCATTGCTTTCAAGGGAACTACGAGGATCGTGAGACCATATCGGACGACTGACGTGTCTGAGACGGGTTATGGATGCTTGCAACACAGCCTCAAACACTGTAGTCATCGCATTATCGATCCTTCGCTCGGGAGGCTGCCATAGTCCTACGACTGTATTTGACATATCCGAAGCTAGAACAAGTGAGTGGGTGGGCAACTGAAGATGATGTAAACCACATCGAGCGGACTGATCCCCGAACTGGTAGATCAGCTGACCAGCATCGCACCGATATACTGACAACGACTCACGACTGCTTGAAACATATATGTATGGCTCTTTCACGGTTATATGCCTTCCCGGTGACCGCATTGCAACTTTGACTGGAGTTTGCCAATTGATCCGAGATGGATCAGCTACCCCGAGAGACTGCATGTATAGATCGTTTCCGCAGCAGTAGACGAGCGACTTGTCAGGGTATATAGCCACAGAATACACAGGTTCATCCGTATCAATCGCTTTCTTTGTGACAAGTTTTGGAGGCTGATTGCTTCTTTCCTTGGTAATTGCGAAGAAGAGTAACCGCCCGACTGGCTTTTGTGCCCGGGTCAACATGGTGTTAATGACCAACATATGGTACTCGTTGACGCCAACTATAGGGAACCACTCGGTCACACCAAGGAACTTCTCGCCTGGTTTGCATTCCGATATCATGAGCGCTTGATTGTCTTTGGGCTCTTCCCCATCATCAATGTCCATTGCATCGGGATCAAGCCCGGCGACTGGGTCGACATCCGAGTCCAGAAACGAGATCATCGGGCGCAGAGCACGCTTGCCTCGGACGTTAGGTCGCCCATGGATTTGTCTAGCAGACCGAAGAACTTCGAACTTGTTGTGGAGAACAATGAGCTTATCCAGGTGTTTTGAATATAACACTCTAACAGGACTCCCACCAAGCTCTAGACGGCGAGGAACCATTTTTGGCTGCGAATCGAGAGAGATCGTATGGAGTTGATTGCCATCCATGCAAACGAAAGATTCAGCGGTGAATCCAGGGGTTCCTCCGGGCAACCATGAATCCACAACTTGACTGATTGCAGAGATTTTACCTTGCTGAAGTGAAGGTTTGCATGGGTCTGTTATCCACACGTTGAGCACCGTCGCGGGTGCTTTATCGTCCTTTTGGGGATATTCTAGGGTGCATAAAGTGTTCTCGCAATGGATGACGACTCTATTGGCCGTTGTGTCCTTAAGGACAGCCACGGAAGTATGGCCGAAAGCCAGCTTTTCGCAGAGAGTTAGATGGTCCATTGCCATTGTCAGCATGTACATCTTGGGTAGAATCCCAGGATAGTGGTAAACTCACATGTACCTACTTCCTTGCTCAGATTTAATGTTTCCACAGTGCCATCGCGGAGGCCACAGACAAGGAGCGGTTGTACCCCTTTGCTCGTGGCCCTTGCGATGATAGCGATACTATCACATATACCAAAGGGACCGGCAAAAGTATGGTGAATGGTAGTAGCAGGGTTCAGGAGCCCGGAGCCAATGTTGGCCGGCAGATAGATATCCAGCTCTCCCGCAAGAGTACCAACGAGTACGAGAAGTTCTTTTCCGGTTTCCAGCACAGAGAGGCAGGATGGTTGTACGTGAAGCGGTATTTGTTGATCCAAATGCTGATATTCATTGGCAAAATTTCCAGATTCTAGATAAAACTGTCCATTCCGTTGGGTAGCGAAAACAATAATGGTGTTGTCCGCAGTTGTGTGTATACAGGCCGCCAGAATCCGCGAGTCTCCAAATGGATACTTAGATCCTGGCTCATATCTCTCGGCGTCAAGTTGATTTTTGTCCGGCTTTGTGTCCTCCATATCCTCTTCTTTAATCTCTTTGTCGTTCAACGGTGGCGAAGGCAATGATGTGGCCATAAGAGAGGTTTCTGTAATTTGAATAGTGAGGCCTCGATTTGTGCGCCCTGCAGCGATCGTCCTAGCGTTGAGGTCAAGACCCACATCATGGTCAATGAGTTTATAATCAGCCTTTAGCAGGCCTACATCATCGCCAGTGGGTTCTGGTTCTTGCTTCAGCCACACTCGCAGAAGATAAGTTCGCAGTGGGTGAGACAAGATGATATATGTGACGTCTTCCAGATAATTGTCTTGCCTGTCTTGCTCGTCTGTGTTTCCGTAGAAGCCGTGCAAGGCCCAGATTCCAAACAACCCATTTTTCAATTCATCGATAAGATCAGATACTGTGCTGATTTTCTTCGATGCTTGCACTCCGTAGCGTATCTCTGAGATCGCGCCGTATTTTCCTCTGCCGGAGCATGCGAACAGCCGTTGTTGTCCCTTTGAGGCGTTGTTTGCTGCAACTGTGATCCCTGCATTCTGTCGGTCCATCGGAACATTGGCAATAGCGAAATCATTGATCGGCGTCCAATTTGGTAAAGTACCTCGCTGATTGGGACTTTTCTGACGGGGTGGAAAGCTCCACAGACCTCCATCGCTTTCGTCGCCGCCTGCGATCAGCACATCCTCTGTATAAAGACCAATATCTACAGTCGCAAATGATGTGTTGATGTTGACCCCGAGTCTGCCAACGTTGTGGTTGCTGTCGATCATCTCTTTGAGACCATGATCAATCACCACATACTGCACAATCCCGTCCTCTCGGCATAAGACTATGTTGTCTTCGTTAGGCCTCTTCTTCTTGGATCTCATTGGTCTTGCCCATTGAACCCAAAGTGGCCGCCTCGTAGAAACGCCAGGTTCTTGAGGCTCTTGCTCAACGGCGAGGCGATGTAAGAACCGGTGGCAACCCCCCGTCAAGATATCCTTGATCAAGACCAGGCGTTTCTCACACACCATGATAAATGCACTGTTTTTCATAAGAGGTATCAGAAGTAAGGGCAGCTGTTCGTCTGGATGCAAAGCTATCTTATTTGGCCTCGGCTGAGACAGGTGCAAAGGCATATCAGCGTTCCAGTCGTACCAAAACAACCAACTTTGGTGATCCCTTGCGACAACGAACAGCAGAATAATTTGGTTTGGCTCGTCCTCCGGCGGATGGAGGAATTCCATCTTCAGAATTCTTCCGCCCAGCAAGATGAGCTTTTCCTTACAGTGAGATGGTTATTAGCTGGGGGGTGTGCACAAGCTAGATTGACCGAACACTCACTTCTTTGATCGGCCCAAGCTGAGACTTCTCCTTGAACTCTGCTCTCATCTCGTTCATTGGCTTCAAAGCGTATACGTAAGCTCTGTCTTCGTGAGCAGCAACAGCCATTGCTCGGGACCTAGACTTGTCAGTCAGGAGCTTGTCCAACGTATCTGGCTCACAACGCACTTCGGATCGACAGCAATATGCTCGCCAAGGCGTTGCAAAGGCGAGGTCGGAGCTGGCAAGGCCTTCTGACTCCAGAAAAGTTCAGCATGCTCCAAATCTCCACTGACTGCACACAAGAACACAAGCCTGTTCGACTCCAAAGCTAGAACGAGGATATGAGGTGGAAGCTCTCGTCGGTACAGGGCAGCACAATCCGGAAGATTTTCTTCCGGGACCAAATCGTTATGTTTGTTAGCGTGGGTATCATCCCAACGCTCCTCCTTCCTGAGCTTTCTATAGCTGTAGTCGTGTCTTGTCAGCTCCCTTCGCTCTCCGATTACTCTAGCGGACTTGATTGCTGAGTCAAAGTCACTCTTGGTGGCTATTTCTCTTAAAGTGTAGTCCGCTTTGGCTTCTTTGATTGTTACTGAATTTGCCGATATAAAGAGCACGTCGTTCTTCGTCTTGTGCCGTATTCTTGCAGGGATAATCCGGTTGATGACGGAACTTCTGACCAGAGTCTTCGTAAGGATTCCTAAAGAAGGCGTCTTTGGAAGACTGATCGACGGCTGACTCCGTTCTTTGCGCGGCGTTTCTGCATTTTGGGCTCTTACATGGTAGGGGTCCACGTTTCTAGTGACCCATCTTCCATTCTCAAGGACAGTAGTTCGAACCGACATTTTGAGGAAAGGCTCAACGATAATCCACTGTTGTAACAATGTTCTTGGGCCTTTTCAAAGATTACAGGAGAGGCTATGGTAGATCTGCAGTCCTCTTAAGCCAAAGGAAACAAGGACAAGTTGCCAGGGAACTAGGGCAACTCGAGGGAGCAACGGCGTCCTAAGACGAGGGAGAAAAGGAATCAACCCCTCTGAAATATGCCTGGCCTAGTCTGTAGAGTCTGGAAGCAATTGTCAAGGGGCTCATTGCCCCTCATGCGGAAGACAGAGAGAAAGAGCTGTCTCGATGTGGTGAGGGTACATGGGTGCGACGCCAGCAATATTCACGCAACCTAAAGGAGAAGAAGCTAAAGGTTCCAGCTGAGCGGGAACGATTATGCAACTGAAAATCGACGGCGACCTATTCACGGGACTTGCACCCAAATATCCTTGGGCTGGTGGGCCGGCGACCTTTTTCTGGGGATTCGAGCGGAGTACTCGTACCTCTCCAGTAGAAAATGTCCACTACTCTCAAGGAAGGACCAATTGAATTGTGATGAAGATGATGATGATGGAATCAACGAATCTTCTGCTTGAATGCGGGTCGCCTTTTGGTGTCTCAATGGAGAATATGTAAAGGTCATTATTGTGCTGCTGGTACTGCTGGCCGTGAAGTACGGTAGAGTAAGGTAAGCTGGCGCTTGGAGGCCTGTCGGTATTAGTCGTGGATTCCAGAAGTGAGTTACTTGATAAAGCGAGGACACCAATAGATATTTCCACTCAGCGGCACGTCGCTTGATCTATTGGCGTCCTCGCTCTATCAAGTAACTCACTTCTGGAATGCACGAGTATCCGTTAAACGCCGAGAGGCAACAAATTGTTTTCTCCGCACCATTATTTCGATTACTACCCCACCACATCAATATGATTCAATAAATGTAGTCTAGATCTATTATATAGAGTTCAATGCATCATTCCTTCCATGAAATCGTCTTACGCAATCCCCTTTGCGACATAAGAAGACCTGACATACTTTATATCCCCCGCGTGTCTTGAAAGCATCATCCCTATTCCCACTGATCTCTCGCCCAAAACCTCGATTTTGAATATCCTTACGACACATAAGGCACGCCCGAATGGCCTTTAAGTCTTACTAATTATGATTACCTCGTAGTGTAGAGATAGAGAGAGGATTTGGCCTTGCTCGATAGAGATCTCCTTCTTTTAATAACTCTATTATTACGCTTTCATAAATAATAGAAAAGTAAAAGATTCTTATATAGATTATAATAGCGATGAAGATTTTAAGCTCTGATATAGTTGTAGAGTACCAATAAGGATCGCGAGAACTCTGAGCAGAGGCATACAAATTTGTATTATCTCGAAGTATTTCCCAGACAGTAGTAGTTTATATGAGATCAAACATAGTACGTGAAGTAAGAAATAGGTCACTTGGAAGATGACTGACGGCTGCCCGATACTCAATTTTCATTGGTTGATACTCTGGGAGTGGTGGAATACGCTGGAGAAGATTGTCACGTTTTTCAAGAAATTGCTGTCTCTCCTTGGTTTTTGAGGCTTTTTTTTGCTGCTCTAAGGCCTAATCTAATTCGTCCTTATCAGAAGTAGGTAGGGTAGCAATTTGAGGCATATTGGACTATTGGTAGTGGAGTTATTTAATGATTAATATAAGGAAGCTATTGAATGTGAGGGAAGAATCTCGGTTAAATTTGTTGCCTCGGCCTGGGCGGTTATCGGATAGTACCTCGGTAGTCGGTCCCCGCCGTCTTGCCCTGCACCGCCGATCATCCGCCGTACTACTCGTAACATCTCAGCACCCATGATTGAAGACCTGTCAGTCTTGCTTCTACATTACGGTTGCTGCAAGCTATGATCATCTCCACCTTTCGCAGGCCTTCGGGGTCGACCATATCACCATACACGTGCAATGGAGAGGCGGAATGAGGACAAGCGTGAGCTGTCAGAACAATCTGACAGCCGTACCTCCGCAGTTGGTATTTCCAAAGAATCTCAGAACAGGGATGCTGGAGAATCAAAGCTGCCACATGAGGTCAATCGTATACTAGCTGCTTGCGAGGATCCCCACGATCTAGATCTCTTGATCAGACTGGCAACTTCTACCGGTGGCTTGATCAACGACGAGGTACGGAAGGTGGTCTGTAAGTCTGCCAGAGCTGAAATTCCCCTATTTCCCGAGACTGACCGCTACTGAGGGCCACTTTTGCTGGGCTACAGAAGCGAAGAGTCTGAGCTCACCGGCTCTGCTCGCTACCCGCTGGATCTTCCAATCCATAAAGATGAAGATCAAGTCGAGCTTGATGTGAACCGGTCCTTCATCTACTACCCGAAAGGTAGGCGTGCTTTGAGCCCCTAGGATAGCTTGATGCTAATTCAAATCTAGACGAATCGGAAAGGCAGCTTGATCGACGGAAACGCGAGCTTTCGTCGGTGATCATTCAAGTCTTAAGGGAACACCCGATGCTTTCCTACTTTCAAGGATTCCACGATATCGTTCAGGTCTTTCTACTTGTTCTTGGTGTCGATCGAGCGCCCACAGCTGTCGCTCATATCTCACTCTTACGTATTCGTGATTTCATGCTGCCTTCGCTCTCGGCATCCCTTGAACATCTGAACCTACTGCCGACCATCCTCTACGCGGTGGATCCGAAGCTCTGCCTCCATTTGTCACAGACGCGGCCGTTCTTCGCCTTGGCGGCTACACTTACTTTGTACGCTCATGACATTCAGGAGTATGGTGACATAGCTCGACTGTTTGACTTTTTGATCGCGCAACCAGCTGTTGTCTCCATCTACTTCTTTGCCGTTATCATACTCTCGCGCCGCGATGAACTGTTTGAGATCCCTGCGGAAGAACCCGAGATGCTTCATTCGGTCCTGTCCAAGCTACCCAAGCCTCTGAACTTGGAAGCTCTGATCTCCCGGGCGATGACGCTATTTGAGGAGCATCCTCCGGAAAGTCTGCCGTTAAGAGCTTGGGCGAAGATCTCAGTTTACAGCGTCCTAAAAACCACAAGAGAATCTGTCAGAAACCAGACTCTCGAGGACGGCGAAGACCTGTTCGAATACCAGGCATTACAGCTACGGAGAGAAGAGTTGCAGAAACGAGCAATGGCAACTATATGGAAATACAGACGTCCTGCTAGTCGAATGGGGTTGGCATTCTTGGTCGGTATCTTTTCGATATGGTTTAGCAGAAGAGTGGGACTGGATCCCAGTTTTGGTCTAAAGAAGGTATTGGAAGTCTTCAGGAAGTTTCGTTGGAAACTGTGAGAGGCTACTTATATGGATGTTGTACTTTATATACACCAATAGATCACAAAAGCTAAAGAGATTCAGATCTCTGCCAGTCGACCTGTGGAAGTCCCTACACTGAAGTGACATCGAGTGCGGGATAGAGTGACCTTGGCCTACAAAAAAGGCAACTTAGCCGATCTCGAGCTTGGCGACACGTTTGTCAATCGACGCTCAGCTCCGCCATTCACAGTACCTCACCCAGGACAAAGAAAAGGTGGGTACAGTTCTTGATGGCGAACCAGGGCTATGATGTCGTCGTAGACGTCGATGAAGGGGTATGCTCACTGTCCAATGGAAACTTCAACCCACACACGCTAACCTCGTCCCAAGGGCGATCTGGGTCATACAGACCTCCAACAAGACGACCTCGAATTCCATTCTTCCAGTATGCTCTCAGGACTCGCCCAAACCTCCTATTTCTAACTTCCTGCTGCTAGACTTCAACGACCCATCGAACCCACGCTCCAAAATACTTCCAGACACATCCACTCCCTTCGGCAGCACCCAAAATCCCACACCGTCCAAACGTTTCCTCTGGACCCTATCATTCTATGCCCAATTTTTCGATGTCGATACATCAGAAGTGCTCCGCCGCTGTACCTCGTCTCTCTACCCGCGTGCCCCGTTCCTGGATATTCTAGACGGAAACCCCGATCTCTACGGCCCGTTCTGGATCGCTACGACGCTTGTCTTTATACTTTTCATCACAGCTACTATGAGTCAATACCTGAGCCGGAACCATGATATCCATTTCGAATACAATTTCGCCCTGCTCAGCGGCGCCGCGGGTTTGATTTACGGTTACACGGGCTTCGTCCCTGTTGGACTATGGGCCTTGCTGCGGTGGTTTGGAGCCGAATCCGCAACACTCGTCGAATGTTGGGCGTTGTATGGGTATGCGAATGTGATATGGATACCCGTGGCCATCATCAGCTGGAGTCCGATTTCAATGTTGAACTATGTCTTCACTGCGTTAGGGTTTGTGGTGAGCGTTGCGTTTCTGGTCAGGAATCTGTGGCCGGTTGTGAGTGTTACAGACGCGAAGATTAGTCGGGTGCTGGTCATTGCGGTGGTGTTGTTGCACGCGGGATTGGCTATTGCGATCAAGTTTACATTCTTCGCGTGAATATCCCCTTCAGTTGCTGGAGATTATGTGCTGATATATTTTGACAGACATGGCAGTCCCGCTGTAAAGGTCACCAAGCCGAGTGGCGATGGAGTTGGAGCCACGAATACGACAAGACCTTTGTTAGGCTTTTGAATGATATGAACTCGCCCTTCGTTTATAGCTCCCTGTAGTTCTTATTCGGATACCCAGCTTCTTAAAAGTAGAGTCGAGCACTCATAGATCTGAAGAATTTGTGAAATGACTCATCTCAATGAAGCTGATCTTCCTCCTGTAGAGTACCGAGTCCCACACATCCTGAGTAGAAGCTTGCTCAGTGTGTATCCACAGCTTAACGAAAGGAATTCTCAAAAGGCATGAGACATTTATGTGAACTAAATTTGTATGTTCAGGTTCATCTACGAAGTATCTTCGGTCACCGTCAAACCACCGCCAATTCCTTCTCCGCATCCCGCACTAGCAAGCATCTTTGCCGCTCCCACGATCAAACTTCAGCCCACGCCATTCAGCGCCGCCCACAGATACCCTACTAAACGTTTAGAGAACCATCCTTCAAGCTCTTTATTCCAAAAGCCTTCCCTGCACAAATGGCGCCCAAAAAGAAAGGCAACAAGAAGGGCAACGACGACTGGGAAGCAGACTTGGGTGAAACCCCGGATCCTATCGCCGCCGCAGCCCAAGAAGCCAAAGAGGTTGAAGCAGCCCGAGATGCCGAACCTGATGAAGCTCCTGGTGGAGGAGGCGGTCTACTGGCTGCACTCAAGAAAAACAAGTCTAACAAGAAGAAGAAAGGCAAGGTTGTGGAGGAAGACTATGTGAACGGCGAAGATCCTCCCACAGCGGATGGTGTCAACGGTCATGTCGAACCCAATGGTATACAAGACCTAGCCTTCACGGCACCTGAGGAGGCTACGACAGAGGACCTATTCGATGAGCAGGTTACGAAGGCCAAGAGTGGGAAGGGTAAACAGGGGAAGAAAGAAGGGACACTAGTGCCCAACGAGGACGAGGACGGAGAGGATACAGAAGAGGGGGGCACAGGAGGGGTCAAGAGTAAGAAGGAGAAAGAGAAGGAAAAGAAAGAGAGAGAGAAGGCGAGGAAGAAAGAGCAGGTACGTGCATATCTTTAGTGTTGACCTTACAAGCGTAGGGATACAGAGAGGCCGTGGCTTATTAACATGCTTTTTGTTTCCAGGCTGCTGCAAAAAAGAAACAAGGAGGTGCTCTTCCGGCACAAAAAGAGGAGCCTGTGAAGCCCGTAGTCGAAGCGAAGTCTGAGGCTGCCTCAGCTGCCGATGCAGGGAAAGGAGGAAAGAAGAAATTACCGCCCGCCCTTGCAGCACTCCAGAAACAACAGGAAGCTCTGAGAAGACAGCAAGAGGAGCAAGAAAAGGCAGATGCCGAAGAGAGAGCCCGGATAGAAGAAGAGGAGCGATTAGCGGCGGAGGAAGAAAAGAGGAAAGAGGATGCTCGAGCGCGGAAGAAGGAGAAGGACAAGGAGAAAAAAGAGCAGTTAAAGAAAGAGGGCAAGTTGATGACACCAGCCCAACGGGAAGCGCATCGGCGGAATGAATTGAAGAGAGAACAAATGCTTGCCGCCGGTGTAAAGGTTGCAGGACTGGACGAGGAACCTGCGGAGAAGAAGAAGCCGGTGTACGATAACAAGAAGAAGAAGGGACTGAAGAAGCCAGGCGACGATGCCAGAATACAGGAAGAAAAAGAAGCTGCCGAGGCAGAAGCTCGGCGGCAAGCTGAAGAAGCGGAGCGTCTGAGGCTAGAAGAAGAGGAGAAGGCGAGGGCTGAAGCTGCGGCGGCAGCAGCAGCAGAGGAGCCCGAAAGTGACGGCCTCGAGGACTGGGAGGCTGTTGCCGATGCTGACGACGGTAATGTTAAAGAGAGCTGGGAGATGGACTCTGATGAAGAAGCTGCTGCCTCGCAATCACCGCCTCGGAAGCCCAGTGCTGTCACTAATCTTATGGAACAACTCAAAGCCGCACAAATAGACCTGCCTTCGAGGCCCGCTCCATCAGCACAAAAACCACAGCAGAAGCCACAACAGAAGCCAGCTGAATCCGATTCCGAGTCGGATTCAGACGACTCGTCTGCTGATGCGCAAGGAACAGCCACACAACGAGCGGCTGCACAGAAGAAAGCTGAAGCTGCAGCCAGGAGGCAGAAACAACACGAGGAGGCGCTTGCCGCCAGATCAAAAGACAACCTCCGTTCTCCTATTTGCTGTATCCTGGGTCACGTCGATACCGGGAAGACTAAGCTATTGGACAAGATACGGCAGACTAATGTCCAAGAAGGTGAAGCTGGAGGTATCACGCAACAAATAGGTGCAACCTATTTCCCAGTTGACGCCCTAGAAGCTAAAACTGCGGTCGTCAACAAGGACAACAGCTTCGAGTTCAAGGTACCTGGTCTTCTGGTCATCGATACTCCTGGTCACGAATCCTTCACAAATTTGCGATCTCGAGGATCCTCGCTATGTAATATTGCCATTCTCGTTGTCGACATAATGCACGGGCTGGAACCGCAGACTCTGGAGTCGATGAAATTACTCCGTGACCGGAAAACACCATTCATTGTTGCTCTCAACAAGATCGATCGTCTATATGGCTGGAAGAAGATTGATAATAATGGTTTTCAAGAAAGTATGGCCTTACAGAACAAGGGGGTTCAAAACGAATTTCGAGATCGCCTCGAAAAGACAAAAGTCGCCTTCGCCGAGCAAGGCTTCAACTCTGAGCTTTACTGCGAGAACAAGTCCCTTGCTAAATTCGTTTCCTTAGTACCAACATCAGCGCACACAGGAGAAGGTATACCAGACATGCTAAAGCTGCTCGTCAGTCTAACGCAAGAGCGAATGACCAACAAACTCATGTATCTCTCCGAGGTCGAGTGTACAGTCTTGGAAGTGAAAGTCATTGAAGGTCTAGGCACAACCATCGACGTCGTCCTATCTAACGGTGTCCTACGAGAGGGCGATCGGATAGTTCTTTGCGGTATCAACGGCGCCATTGCCACAAACATTCGAGCATTACTCACCCCAGCACCGCTAAAGGAGCTCCGCCTGAAGTCCCAGTATGTCCACAACCAAGAATGTAAAGCATCGCTAGGTGTCAAAATTGCGGCCAATGACCTCGAACACGCCATCGCCGGTTCGCGCCTCTTGGTCGTCGGACCAGGCGACGACGAAGAGGATATTGAGGAGGAAGTCATGTCTGATATCGAGAACCTCTTATCGAAAGTCTCTAAAACAGGACGTGGTGTCAGCGTCCAAGCATCCACCCTCGGCTCTCTCGAAGCCCTCCTTGAATTCCTCAAGGTCTCCAAAATTCCTGTCGCAAACATCTCCATTGGCCCCGTCTACAAGCGGGACGTCATGTCCGCAGGCATTATGCTCGAAAAAGCCAAGGAATATGCAGTCATGCTCTGTTTCGATGTCAAAGTTGATAAAGAAGCGCAAGAGTATGCTGACCGGGAGGGAATTAAAATTTTCACGGCGGATATCATCTATCATCTTTTCGACGACTTTACGAAACATATGGCGCAGTTGGCGGAGCAGAAGAAGGAGGATAGTAAATTGTTGGCTGTGTTCCCTTGTGTGCTGAATCAGGTGGCGGTGTTTAATAAGAAGGATCCAATCGTGGTTGGGGTAGATGTTGTTGAAGGCAACCTCAGACTCCTCACGCCAATCGCCGTGGTACGGACGAACCCGGTCACCAACGTCAAAGAGGTTGTCAATTTAGGCAGAGTGTAAGCTTCCTCGTCCTCCGTACCCTCTTTCGCTTCTTCCACAAGTCTTCCGAGAATTGTTACTAATTCCCCTACAGCCAATCAATCGAGCGCGACCACAAACAAATTCCCATGGTAAAGCGCGGCCAGCCCTCCGTCGCCATTAAAATCGAAGCTCCCAACCAACCTGTCTATGGTCGACATTGGGAAGAAAAGGACGCACTCTACTCGTTAATCTCACGGCAGAGTATCGATACTTTGAAGGAATTTTATAGGCCTGATGTCAGCAATGATGAGTGGGCGCTGATTAAGAAGTTGAAGGGGTTTTTTGACATTCCCTGAATTGGAAGAGGGGAGCGAGATGTTTGAGTGACACGATTGGCATGATTTTGCATAGATAGCTTGGCTTGGATGTGACAAATAGCGGACGCTTGGTACATGTACATACGCAAATGCATCTCTGGAGCCTCATTTGCTGTTGGGCATGTCGCGATCTTTACAGTGACGGTGTGACCCAACAATATGCAAGAGCTGGCGGTCTAGTTTCGTAGATTCGTAGCACTGTTTGTTCCTCATCGACCAAATCCGAACCACCCCTTCTTCTTCTCTTCTCCGCCTTTCGCTCCCTCGGCAACCCCGTTGACCGCTTTTTCGTTGATCTTTTGAGTCCGCCCTGGATACTCGATGTAATTGAACGCTACGTCCAAGAATAGCGGCTTAACAGGTATCGGCTCCACCTTAGGCGGGTAAGTGACCAATTTTGTGAGGTCGACGTCATTTAGAGGATATTCGTACAATCGCTCTATCAGCGGTGGTACGGGGTTAATGTTTTTGTTGAAAGATACGGAGTGGATATTGTGAAGTTCGACCAGGGCGCGGTGCTGGGATACGAGACTTTGGAGGAGTGAGTGGAGATCGGAGGCTTGGGTTGGGGTGATGTCGAGTTTTGGAGGCTTTGCATCCGATCGTTGGGTGCTAGAGGGGTGAAGAGACGCTCGACTAGATAAATCGAGAGCACGTGACAGCAGGGCGAGTGCGTTCTTCGTTTCCGATAGCAGGGCGTAAGAGCGAGCGATAGCGAGGCATCTTAATGCTGCAAAATATGCCCTTTTGGGTTCGAGTTCCTCGACGAACTTTTGGTCTGCTGCTACACCGGGTAGCTCTTTGACGGAGTCTAAGCTCTGTAGTGTGGAGTCGTAAAGTACAACTCTTTCTCGCAGCCTGGTGAGTTTCCGTCCGGTGCTTTCTTCTTGGATTACAGTCGTCTTGCCGTCTTTTCGAGAGTTTCTATATATCTCTGGTTCAAGCAACGCCCCGTCTTGTCTGCCACAAAGTATTCGATTCCTACCAATTCGCCACTCCACCAATGCGTAATTGACTGCGGTCCTAGTAATTTGCAACGCCTGCATGCGTCGATCTCCTTGGGAAATACCTTCGGCAGACAACTCGTCAAGAGCAGTCTTCGTGGCGTCAACTGCGTCTTGACTGGGTATGAGGACTTCATCGTAAGCGGCTGCTTTACCTTGAGGTGCCGCATCTGGGTTAGCTGTCAAGAACGCGGAGAGCTTGGATTCCGCATTGGAGACCGCTGCCAAAGCCTCAGCAGTGGCTGCGTCTTCGAGATTCACGAGGCGTGATCGCCATTGGATTGTCTTTGGTACATTTTCAGCGTTACCGCTGGGCGTCTTCCTTTGGGCAGTGGCTGGGTCATCCAATGCATCTGGGTGGTCTTTCAAGATCTCTCGGACAAACGGGCTGTCTTCGGGAACATAGCGTGAGATGATGGTATCGATCGATGTGGTACGGGGCAATTTCAATTGGTAGGCGGCATATCGTATGCTAGGGTCAACTGTGGTGTTCAAGAGATCCCGGAAAAGATCCTCCTGTTTTGGGCCTCCACTTTGCGCAAGCGTGGTATAAATGAAACGAGCCTCCGAATACTCACGCAGGCAGTCCTCCCAGCGGTGCTTCTCGAATTCAATGGCTCCCCGCAGTGAGACGTAGTACGCTCGTGCTTCGAGTAGGGCCTCCGAAGTAGCCTTCGTAACTTGTTTATTCTTAAGCAACTTCACAAGCTGTCCAGCATAGGTACTAGCTTTATGTAGGCGAGAGTGCATGTGAGACTTCGTTGATCCGGTACTACCATGAGCTCCGGATTCTGCAGAATGCGTTGACTTTATTTGCATCGCTAGGGCCCATGCTCGCTCTGAAGTAAGCAGGAGCAAGTATATAAATCTGAGTTTCTGTATGAGGACTTGCAGATCAAGTTTCTAGGGTTGACGCACTCATGATTCCCAGCTATATCTTCGGCCGTGACCGCAGGTCTTGCCGCATACTTTTTGCCTTTGGTCGAGGTATAGTGGAGCTTCTTCCGTACAACAAGCAAGCGTCGAGAAAGCTGTTTCCTGTAGGATGCATAATCACCAACTAGAAGTGCCTTTTCACGCTGAGAGACGATAAAATTGGTGATATCCATTGTAGCTTACTTGGAGGAGAACCATGATGTCCTTGACAGTGAGCTTGCCCGCTTTGTGGGTGGATCTCGGAATGAATTCCGAGGTCTTGGCGCTCCCGTTTCGATGATGTACTCTACTCGTAAATTCTATTCGTAAATTCTGTTTGTCTATCATGCCACTTTTGAGGCTACTAGGTCTTCGCCTGTACATATCTTCTACTGGCCTCTGCGCGAACATTTCTTCGGGCTCCCTTTGACTGACTCTCCCATTTTAGACTTTTCTTCGAGGATCTATGACAGCCAAAGCCTCGGCGATCCCTTCCCCTGTGGTAGCACACTTGCCAGGGCATGATAGAGAGAGCGGTTGGATGGCTCCACACGGGAGAACGAGCTGTGCTCCGGGGCTCCAAGAAGCATTCTCGCAATCGACGCCACCTACACTCTGCCTTCTGGTCTCACGGTGCCGGTAACATCGATCTACCGTCTTGGTGGATGCTCTTTCTACAAAAATCAGGCTCCGCCCAGGAGTCATGTTCGAGCAAAAGACACGGAATCCCAACGGTAGCATTGTCCAGTGGGCTTCAAGAGATCTTCCTAGACTTCCTGTATCCTGTACATACGCTAGCACTCATTAGACGGCTCAAGCGGTCCACAAAGGCGCAACATCACGCTGCTCAGAACATCAAGCACTGTTCCAGAAGCTACACCTCAATTGCTGCAGATTTAATCAATGGAGCGAAGGCAGTTAGAACAGCTACTGGGGCCCAGGCCCAGGACGCTTCCGCGAGGTCTTCGTCAGAGACGCCTCAGCCGGGCGATGCAATAAGACGAGGAATCAACGAGATGCTTGATTCGAAGGATCAGACTTGGATCTATGATGAGCTGTGGCAAAGCTATCAAGCTCTACTAGAGATGTCACAATCGCTAACGCCACAAGAGCTTATCAGGATGCTGCGATCCTTGGGGGCGTCAAAGAGAACCATTGATGTCGAACGTGCCGTGGCTCTATTCGACAGCATACCTGTCACGCAGAGGCGGGCTATTCATTACAGCTACGCCGTCTCAGCTGCGCTCTCATTGAAGGACCTGGACACAGCAATCGACATCCATCGTGAGGCTTTGGCAAGGATTAGTGGTTCTATCGGGACTGCAGCACTACTTCGGTATACCGTGCAACATGAGAAGTGGCAGTTGGCAATAGACACATGGCACGCATATTGGGTCAATAAACTACACTACTACACAAGGCCCGATATTTGGACAGGAGTCAACGCTCTGTCTCTGCCAGATTTGATGGAGAAGGCTATCTCGGCTGCGAACTTCGCAATTTCGACTGCTGAATCTTCTTCACAACATGAGAATGCAGTGGCTGCTCGCGATTTCGCATTAGAATTAATTCGACAAACTCTTTGCATTCAGAACACCAACTTCGATATCCACAACCATTGGCGGCTCGTTCAGAAGGCAAGAACCCTTGATGCTTCGGATATGACGACACAAACCATGGCTTTGGAGCAGCTATTATCCATTAACAGTAGGGAGCATGGGCATCGCGCACTGAACCTTTATCGGATACTACGAAAAGAGTCGGCATTCTTACCTAGTACGGACTTACTCTCATTGGTGACGAGCAAGCTAGTGGCAGAAAAGAGTAGTCTCGGCATGTTTATGATTATCGAAGATTGGCGCACTTACCATCAGAAACTACCCGCTGGCATTGCTATCAATGTGGCGAACGTCCTTGCTCAACTCGGACAGCTTGAGCCCCTCCAAAACCTATTCCATGATTTTTGTTCTACGTATGGAAGGCCTACCAGGAAATGGTGGTACAACATCCTGCTTTTCGTCCACAATAGGCGAGCAGACCCTGAGGGTGTGGTGCGCGCCTTCAACGACCTGCAGAAGGATTTTCACTTCAAGCCTACCGTGCGAGCCTGGAATTATGTTATTGGGACATTCTCTCGCATTGGCGACGTTGACGGCGCTCTGACTTGGTTCAACAAACTCCTCGAGTCCGAGTTACGGCCGGACTCCAGAACCTACTTCCTGCTAATGTCTTTGTACGCGAAAAGAGGGGACTGGGAGACCGTCCATGAGTTCCATCAACAATCGAAGATCGACGGTAATAAAACAACCATGTTGATGGTTGACAGTATTGTCTTGGCAAACATTAACGATGAGAGATTGGCAGAAGCCGAGCAACTTGTAAAAGAGGCTTTGCACATGGATTTAGAAGGATCTCGGACGTTTATGTGGACCATTCTGCTCAACGCGTATGCTCTGCGCAGAGAGGTAGAGAAGGTGTCTGTGTTGCACAAACAAATGCAAGCTGCAGGAGTGGCATCTAATGGCATGACTTATGCTGCTTTGATGACAAGCCTGACAATTGCTAAGATGCCCCAAGCAGCATATAAGATCTTGGATACGGTAATGCCGCGAGCAAAAATGAAAAGAACGTCGCTACATTATGCCATCGTCATGGGAGGATACCTTGCAAACAAGAACTACGGCAAAATATTCGAACTCTACAAAGACATGCTGACGCGCAATCTCAGCCCGACAATGAGCACCCAGAACATCCTTCTCCGAGCGGCAGCCTCAGTGGACAAGGCGAAGCAAGGTTACGACGAAGATCCTGAGAACCGAACCGAGCTTGGACGTGCACAACAGACTTTTGAGCAGACGATATCCAATCTGGATCCAATGGAACTCGCGGCTTCGGAACCGCGCAAATTCGTGGGGCCTAACCCCCTAAATGAGTCCTTCTCCTCCACCTACTTCGAGTATCTCATCTTCCTCTATGGCAGAGACGCTGCTTTTGCTAAGGTCACTGAGCTCTACGAACGCTACATCTCCACTTCCGCCCGATTCAGCAACCGTGACGTCG